TGTCTCATGGAATCGAAATTCAGTGATACACATTTTTCACCGCCTATCACTGCTTAGTATAGCGCAATTATCTTCCCACTTAAAGTTGACAGAAATCACACAATACAACTTGCCAATGCAGTTCACCTTACTACCAGTCATTAGCACTCAATTACTATTTCGTTATTTGGTGTGGGACCAACTGATTTCATAGATAATTTACATATCGGAGGACTGGAACTAGTAGATGCCAAAAAGGTACAGTGAAACTGGCTAGTATGCATTCTGGTAGCCACATTAAACCTTCTGCAAAGATTCTGTGAGCTCACTGCATATTTGTAGAATCCATTGGTCCTTTCCTGAAAAGAGTGAGTACAGCACTGATTGTCAATGTGAAAATTTCTTGAATGTTAAATAATAATTGTGAAATGATGAGAAAGACTGTATCCATAAAACTTATCATCTCCTGATATGAGACAGAAAACGGTATAGATAGCAGATCAGTCAAGAATCTATACAAAGTACAGCTAAGAATACAGCCATCCGAAACCTACCTATTCATTCAACTTCAGCCAGATTGATCTATGCTTGATAAGTATCGACATAACTATCTGACTGTTGCGTGAGATGGTGATATTCTAATCAGAGATCTTAGCCGTATGCTAAAGTGTATACTGATGAATTCTTCTATAACGTTTGAACCCGACCATTATTCCATTCATCTTTCAGGCGCAATGTGAAAGATATCACGACAAAAATCTAATAACTCCAATGCTTATAAAACTGAACAGTACCAAGATGAGAGTGACTTCCGAAAGCAAGTCGGGTTTCTTCTATTTAACGAAAACGTATTGATCACGTCAATGTATTCTGAAGGATGCCTAGACTGTGTTTTACACACCATAAGACAACGGTTACAATTCCTGTGAAAAGCCTTGACAAAACCACAATTCCAGATTCTTTTTTGGAGAGGAATATCAATGTCAGAATCCTATGACTAGTATCTAACGGAGTGAATACAAGTCTTCGTTTTAAACACGCAAATGATGATTGTTTTTTATGGTAACATAATATGTAGGCTACATAAACCAACTAATTAGTTCACGACTATAGTTGGTATGTATGACGTATTCTTTACACCTATCAAGCGTAAACCATTGTATGAATTTACATCTGTTCTGACTTATCCTTGATAGTGTATCCATGCGATTATGTGTGCTAGTACGAGAGCAAAGAATATCCTTTTTTTGTCAGCTTCTCAACCAAACCACTACTGACACATCGAACTATGGATAGGTTACCTATGATGGCCACTTCAATATGTTAGTTCAACTGCTCCTGTGGAGCTAATTACGTAGGCCATACTAAAAGGTCTCTATCCACGCGTGCTCGTGAACATGTACCATAATGGTTAGGAAAAGGAATGACAAATAGCATCAACAGTGCAATCTTCTCATTATCTAGTAGATACCGGACATCAGATTAAGGTAGATCATGTCTTCTGTGACATACCGTGCCCCTTGAAATCTCCCTAAAGGTGCACGATTTCGCATATTATTCATAGCCAAAGCCATAGAGATCGACTCAAGAAAACCGGGCTTATATGTTCAAAAGAAATATGTACATCCACTTTGTTTACCTTGGCCCACAAAAAGGTCAACACGATCTTTATGAACTTTCCTACCACAAACTGCACATTTTAACATCTCCCACCCTTACTCTTCTATATTGCTATTACATTAATAAACATTCAATTTCTTATGCTATTGGTTTTATGCCCTTCTTTATTCATACTACTACCTGTAGTCATTTTCAACCGTGACGTAACACTTCACATTTGTTATTCTCTATTTCGTTATAGTAGTCAAATGATTTTCATCCCCACCTGAATATAACTCGTCACTATATAATTGTTATTTGACCCTTAGTAAACAAACGCACACATACACATTTATGACTTAATAAATGTACATAAATTAATCATTATTTGTGGATTTGTCTCATTTCGTAATTGTCCTATCAATATTGATTTCATTGGACAACTAACGCAATAGACTGATAACAGTTCCACCATTCCATTCGATTTGATCTCTATTCATTCATAACACTGTCTGTTTCAATAATAATAAAAATTGTACATCATCCCTTACTTTAGCTATTGTATTTCAATTATTCTAATGGATTTATAACTGTAGAGCCTGAAGAAGAGGTTACTGAAAACAATTGTTCGCTCAAATTATCCTTGTTTTGAATAGTCTATGGGGATCTTTAAATTATCAATATCCTTTCATCACAAAATCCTAACATTGTGACGTTTATCCGACTGTAAACTGTTGTATGTGAAAAGCCCAAATGGCCCTAAACCATAAAAAATATAAAAATGGAGACGAAATTATCCAGCTCATGTTTACCCATAGTTTGTGTCAACGTGACTGATATTAAGCATAACGGAACTGCACATAGTGATGGTAAATAAAATCCCAGCACAGAAAATAACTCAATAACAGCATCCATACCCTGTATTGACAAATATTCTACACTATTTCTGGACTTTAGCTCTACGGACATTTTGTAACTGGTAAAAAATTAATTTTATTGGATCGATGCTTCGTAATATATCATAATTATAGAGAGAAACAAGACAAAATGACAGGTAAGCGAAGAATTTTCTAATAAAGAGAAGATACGCGCTGAGATAATTCAAACATTCCAAGGTTATCTACAATTCAGACAAACCAACATTGATCATCTATGTTGAAATGTACTGCTGATTCATCCCTTTTAGTGTTTCAGTGTATACGCATATCATTAACGCTTTCAACACTATACAGTGATAATTGATAGAAATCAGTACCATGATCACTAACAAGAAAAATAAGTTTGAATTTGCATTAGATAACTCTCAGTTATGCATAAACGAAATGAATAATCCACAGACGCGTTCAGTGGAATCATCGTGTGAGCAATGTTAAGGCCAAGCGAAGGGTAACCAGGCAAGACAAACGAAACGATTGATGAAGTTGTGAACCTTAGTCGCCTTAAGTAGCTTGGACACACACTGCAAGGGGAAGCTGAATTAGGTTGGAAGACGGTTCAGAGTGACCAAACCATGTCGTAACACCAGACGACGAAGTCCCTGACTGTTGGCCTGAGCCATGTGAGGAGATGTAGACTGCTTGGTCGGGGTCCCTAAGATGGTGGGAACCAGAGGTAAAAGACTCTTGACATCTTTAAAACAATGAATATTTGCACTGACCCTCGTCTTCAGACTGTTTATACTCACACGACTTTGTCTATCTTAATATCACTCCTATTCTATCCGCCTCTTCCTTGTCTACTGATTTATATTACTTAATGGTTCCTTGGGTTCCTAATGGAGCATAGGGCTTCTGTAGCACATCTCCAGTGCATTCCCTTCTCTGAAATCTTTTAGACCTGGATCCACAACACCCCACAACCTCTCATTTCTTCCTCACACCATCTCCTCCATGTCACCCTCAGCACCGACGCCCAACTTGTCGCTTCCCATTTCGGTCCCACTCAAAAGCCTGACCTGGCGCATGATTTCTCCAGTCGGTCTTCTCAGTGCATGCCCAATCCATCTCCACTTCCTCACGGTACATATTTGTTGAGTGATAAGTTCTTGGTTGGTTCGTTGTCAGCCAACTACAGTATGTTCCTTGTTGCTCATTCTTATTATTCTGGTCATCTGAGCTTCAGTAACGAGTCAGTGTAGGCAGTTGTTGATGAATGTTTATAGTTTGTTGGAAATGCTTTTCGTAACGCGCCAAGTCTCTCAACCATCATATACAAGCACTGACTTGACATTGGTGTTGAAAATCGGGATCTTGTTCCACATGCTGAGTGCCGAAGATGTACACACTGATTGGTTTCAGATTAATGGAGGCCTGTCTTGCTTTTCCGATCCTGGCTTCGACGTCCTCGTCTGTGCCGCCTGTAGTTGAAACAGATCTCCCTAGATAGGTGAAGGAGGCTACTCCTTTAAGTTTCTCCCGTTGATGGTGATTGGGGCTTGGTGGTGGTGAAGTTGGTTGGGAATCATCATCACCTCTCTCTTCTCTATGTTCACTTGAAGTTCCATCATCGATGCCCTGCCTCTTCTGTCAACTTGTTAGTTTTCACCTGTAGATCTTCGAGTTTGTATGACATTAGACACAAGTCACTGAGCTTCCCACTGTGAATCACATGGCATGTGACATCTTCATATAGTTGTTGAATGAGATTGATAAAGGTTTGTGGTATTCCGTGGTGTTGAAGCAGTTTCCAAATTACTTGTCGGTCGATGCTGTCAAAGGAAGGCTTTTTCAAAGTCGATAAAGTTGAGGTAGAGGGTTGACTGTCATTCTATGCTCTGTTCTATGATGATGCGAAGCATTGCAATTCGATCCGCACATGATTTGTACTTCTTGAACGCAGCCAGTCTGTTCCGGTCGTAGTTTTGAATCCAGTGCTTTCCTTGAGTCTCTCCAGGTCTTTGTCTACTACTTGAGTGGATTCATCTGCATGCGAGGTTATACGTTGATTTTCTTAGTTAGTCAATCAGAGACTATCTCACCAATAAATAATGGTGCACAACAGAATACCAAGACACATATACACACAGAACAAGTTAAACTAAAACATATAATAAACTAAATATTATTCGTATTACATAAAATTAAAAGCAAAGATATGTTACAGTATATATACAAATGTAAAGCTTCTGCTCGTATTTTATCATTAGTAAATGCTGAAGAGCATTCATCATTATCAGCTATTTCGAGCACATAGCTCACTGATTACAATCTACACCCTTTTATCTACTTGCAAATATTTCACCTCATTTCTCATTAGTCTTCTTTGAAAAGAAAAATAGACACAAGAGGTAATATCCCCTTAAAATATATACATAAATTGCCTTAGGGATGAGAAAAATGAAACTATTAATATAACAGCAACAAGATAGTATACATCATAAACTTAAAATAAGATAAACAGAAAGTTAGTGAAACATGTGGATGTTAGCAATTTTTCTTATCAGATATGATATACTTCTGATGACTGATAGACGTATTATCGAGAACAGTTGTTGAAGAGACATTGGATGTACTACTATCAGAATTATGAAAAGTTACAATTTTATGAATCATTGTAATCGGTTGACTACGCCAACTGATTAAACGAAATAGAATGAATATATTACAAGCAAAAAAGTTTAAAGAAGCCATCCAAACAATAATCCAAATAATACGATTTAAAAATACACCCTTCAATGTACACATTTCTAAAGTATAAGCAGAGGCAAGCCATAAACCTTGTGATCCGAACCAAATCAGGAGAGTATGTACTACAACATAAAATGGTGTAATTCCTGGCGGTAAACGAATATCAATCAAAGCAACTGGAAGAAGACATAAACTCCATAAAAAATACTGAGATGTGCATACCTAATTGGAAGAAAGAAAATAACAGAGAATATGTTCATTGATAAAAAAGTAATAATAGAAATAACTTTATGACATGTTATTTCACTGGTCTTCTACCAGTAAATCTATGAAGATGTACCACAGTGAGTAATGTTGTCCACCCTGAGACTCGAGGCATCTGCATGAGAGCCCATCTTCCAACAGAGGTCGAACAATTCGGCCCTGTATAGCAACAGGAAATTATAAGTATCATAACACCTAATGATATACATTGCAAACGAAGCGGGTATCGTGCCCCAGTAGCCAAATGGATAACGCCTCGGTGTTTAAAATGAGTGCTTGATTCGAATCTCAGTGGGGACGACATCACTCACTGAAGTGCGCAGGTATCTTCAGCTGACGAGTGCCAAATAGGACGAAACGCACGTCCTACATCCCTCTGCTAGCCACCACGATTAATATAACTTTATAATCTGCTATTTCAGTGGTCTTCTCCGACCAGTTTCTTTATTTTTTTAATTAGATTCATATAGTTTGACAAATTACAACTTCATGCCTAGTTTCATCTTTTAGTTGGTTGTTCACGAAGCCTTTTTAAAGTGTGAATAAAAACTTATGTTGACAAGAAAAACTGATATTTATGTCCCACTTATCGAAACAGTTGAAAAAGAGTGAAGGGATTCAAAAAAATAGTGAGTCAAAATACAATAAAGTTATCAACTTTTAGTCAGATGTATGATAAACAATAAGTTTCATAAATCCGATGTTCAAGATATGAGGAAAAGGGGCTTTTATGGATGATGTTACGTAATGTGGCTGAAAAGGATATTACAGGACAGTCGATAATAATAACCAACTAGACAATTTGTAATAAATATGTGCACAAAATTTTCTACCATTCTTGCAACATTAACTTATACAAAGAGAAATAAGCACAATCAGTTTATATAACCATAACTTAATAGCTAAACGCATAGGTCCAGACGCTAGCAAACTACATCTTCATAATAAGAAGACTTCAGTTAGATGGATGGATGTTTCGTCGTAGTATGGAGCCTTTGCAGTGCGCACCCACGACCCCGTTAGGGGGTTAAACTAAGGGACTTTAGGTTTTCCAACGAGCAGGTCACTACTGAGCCAATAGGTTGGAATTCAGTGGCCGATATTTTCCTGCTTTTGTCATGGATGTTCACTGCTGAGAAGTCCCAGAGAAAGACGAAACAGCTGTCAAGTGCTCCTAGGTCTTAAATGGCTCTCCATGATGAATACAAACCTGAAGTCCATTTTCTACAACTCATTTTCATCGCTGTATTTTCGTAAATGTATGCGTAAAATGAAAGAATATTCAAGACAAGATACAGGTTCAGGTCAAAGTTAATCGCTTGATGTAAAGAGGGAATGAATTGATATCACTTAACACAAGAAACGGTCTCCTAACAATCGATCAACTTGATGCATATAAAAGATACACGAACAATACTTTCATCGTTTGTAATGACAACCTAGACATAAAAAGCTGCCTAAAAAATTTCAATGACAGTCACTCTTGAGTCGAACTTACACTAGAAGCTAAATCAAACTCGAATGCATGAACACACCAGGGATCAAATGCACGACCTCCAGTTCTCATCGCGTAGAAGTTAACTTATCATCCACTGAGTCCAAGTTCAATGGTTTACAGTCTACTACTTCTGTCAATTCATGACGTATGGCATGATTATCACCTAACGTCTTCAGTTAGCATCCACTTCTCTTTCAACTGGTTGATCTCACAGGTCACGACTTCTTATAGGAATTACACGATATCTATCTCAAAGCCTTTTACTAATTATCACTACACAACAATATCCTTTGAGATTAATATGAATTTTATTCTTAAGGTGGTATTCATTACAGACTGACAGCAGTTGGAGAAGGATTTAAAAGGTGAGAGCATTGAAGCACTGTACATTTATATATATATATATATATATATATATATATATATATATATATATATATATACAGGTATGAAAATGAGTCACTTTTGTTGTAACCTTATTTGTTTTCGATGGTCTAGTGAGGGTTTCTTTTGTTGTTTAAATTCATTTTCGAAAGAATAAAACTCGTCATTACATCAATTTAAATATACGCGATAACTAGAGAATGTAAAACAACAACGACTAAAAGAAAATTCAAAAAGGGTTATGTGGAATTCAACTTACTCTATTAAATGTGACAAACATATAGGTAAGCACGAACCAGCATAAACCCATATTAGAATATAATTTAAACGATAAGCATGGTATCAGTAAGATACAAGGTGCAAGTGAAGCGATATTAAAAATATACTCCGATAAGTTGATTGTATTCATATTTCCTATTAGTGAATTTCTTATCATCCTCATCATCACACTGGAGTATTCCTTGTCATTATTGTTAACCCAATAGGTTATTGAAGTAGGCAAATTACTCCACATTATATTCAACCATTGACTAAAACCATATGCAGGCATGATTTGTTTATTGTTGAACCATTTTTGTCCAGAAAGTAGGTAAACACTTAAGAAGTGTGGAGCAAAATTATGCTTAAAATCTGAACGACTAAAATGATAGAAATAGGCTTGTTGAAGAAACAATATCCCACCAAAATATAAATAACACAACCCGGTTAAAATTATCAAGCTTAGTAGACAACTGAATCCGAATACTAGATGATTTCGATTTGGCAATTTCATAAAGACTGAAAATAAACTTCTTGACTGACTTTTCGACATTTCATTATCATTGTCGCTTTTTTTCTCCTCCATAAGCCACATATAGATGGAAGGTGAATAGATTACTGGATATATTCTAAGATGAATACACAATCCATAGAGTAATCCAGCTAGAATGATCCGATGCTTTAAAATACACCATAGACACGCTAGTACAAAACAACTTTGCAGTGCATCTGCATTACCACGAGCAGAGACTACTGCTGTCACAGGATTGAATAACCAACCGAAACAAACAAAATACACGGCTAGACGATTTGTATTTGAAGACAATGACTTTTGTCCAGTGCGAGGATTGATTTTATCCGGCAATGTTGCATTATCCTGCTAGAAGATGAATCGTAAAAATTAATAGGAAATCAATTAATGTAAAATACGTTGATAAATTCTATGATGTCTGATTTTAACAGAAAACTTGATTGTTGAAAAAAAATCTATTACATTCTTCAGACGAATCACTGAGATAGAACAGTCAGTATCAAGACAATTTTAGTGACAGGAGATTGTGAATTCATTTCTGTTGAGCTATAGAAGCACCTAAACGTACCACACTTACAATCCGAATGCGCAGCAACCTCTGACAAAATGAATACAAGTGACTTTCCCGTATGTCAAAAGAATACATAGTGGAAATCTTTTACAATACATACAATAAATAAGTTATAACAACTGAATATCAGTATGCTCCGTTGTAACCTCGCCTAGTTTGCTACTTCACTAGTTACTAGCTGGTCCTAAACCCAGATAAAGAGGGAACGTTAGGCATCGGGCTAGCAACCCTACCACGGAAAACCAATCCAACAGCAAAATAAGCTTCAAAGCACTAAAAGTATGTAAAATAAACTTATTACCTGCTGGAACCGGACAGACAAAATCACGCCGGTTGGTGTAAGCCTTCAGGAAGTCAATTGGTCAATATTTCTCCTCCCTCCCTCTCTCTCTCTCTCGATGAAAGCGAAAGTAGGCATGGGAACATGGAACGTCCGCATACTGTTTGAAGCTGGCTGGCTGGCTAGTTGGTTGGCAAGGCTGCCCACATTGCAAAAGAGATGAGAAGATATGGCATAGAAGTGCTAAACTGGGAATTTGAGAAGAATGCAAGTGGACTCTCCAAACTGTCAACTGGAGACGAGTCAATAATCTACTCCAATATTGTCATCCAGACGAAAACCACCAGCACACTCAGTTATGAAGTGGCTATCATGATGTCCCCCTTCCAACAGCATCGACGACTGTCTCTCTCTCTCTCTCACTCTCTCTCTCTGATGCAGTGGGAATCAATCTCCTCCTACAGCATCAGCATCATGACATCAAGATTCAACTCAAAAGGAAGGAGAGTCACAATCATACAATGCTACTCAGTGCACCTATAAATAATGCAGACACGGACCAAGAGAAGAAGGAGGAATTCCACAGACAACTGCAATCAACACTGCACAAGATTCCTGTTCAGTTGGCAACATCAACATCAAAATCCATTCTAATGGGTAGTGTGACATGAATCTCAAACTGCGAGCGGACAACACCGGAAGAGAACTCATCATGCGTCGAGAAGCACTCGGTGAAATGATGAGTGAGAATGGAGAACTGTTTGCAGACTTCTGAGCATTCAACGATTTGCTGATTGGAGACAGTGTGTACAAACACAATATGATATTCACAAAGCGACAAGCATTTGATTTTACCAGGCATCAATCAGATGGACGCACTACACCAATCAGATCGACTTCATCTCAATCTGAAGGAAGTGGAGACGCAGCTAGCCTACTGGACACATGATCACATGAAGAAGGGAAGCAGGTTGACACCAATCACTATCTAGTGAAAGGAACCTACCATCAAAATCAAGTTGAATGCCTTCACAGAAGTTGGTGATAGACCAGAGTTCAAGTTGAACATCCATAACAGAAACTGAAGGACGAAACTACAAAGGAAATCTTCACGTCGTCAGCCATCAGAACAAAATGGGAGACATTAAGCAACACCCGTGAAGAAATCTGAGTGGGCGAACACTGGAACTCTTTGAAAGAGATGTGGAAGGAAACAGGCATAATCGTGTTAGGAAGGAGGAGGAAGATGCAAGACAAGGAATGGATCTCCACGGACACAGGGAAGCTGATAGAGCAGGGAGAGGAGGGTGGTGAAGCAGATGAACCAGTGCAGTGCAGTGCAGTGTATGGATGAACAACGCAAATCGGAACTGAATACAACCCATAAAACACTATATTGGACAAAGAAGTGAAGAAGAGAGTGCACAAAGACGAAAGACACTTCTACGAGACACTCGCAAGTGAAATCGAACAAACAGGCTGCTGGTAGGAGAGACCTGACAACACTGTAACAGATAATCATGTTACTATCTGACAGGGAGGAGAACGGCGCAGATGAAACCAATGAGAGATAGTGAAGGAAACCTAGTTAGCAAAGATAAGAAACAAAGTGAACGATAGTATAATTGTTTTTATATGATACCGTCGTTGATTGGACCGAATTGATAAGTCTCTATTAGCATATGGGCTCCTGTGAGGATGCCTCGATATTACCGGCGTTCTAATTATGTTAATGATGAGTAGTGGCTAGTAGTGGAATCCAGGATGCGCATTTCGTCCTATTTACGACTTCTCAGCTGAATGTACCTGCTTCCCAGTGAGTGATGTTGTTTCCACCGGGATTCGCACAGGAAGTGGCTACCGTGGCTCGGTGGTGTAGTGGATAACGCCTTGGCGTTTGAAGTGATCGCTCCCAAGTCCGAATCCCGGTGGGGACAACATCTTTCATTGGGAAGCAGGTGCACTCAGCTGACGAACCCCAAATGGGACGAAATGTACATACTGGATTCCACTGCTAGCCACGATCTATCGCTAACAAAGTGAAAGAAAGGCTGACTACCTCAAAAATCTCCTAAATCTACCACCGCCACCACCACCACCACCAACTGCAACTCGTCCAGAAATACCAGCAGTAGCCACAGAATTACAAGTGAACACAAGCCCTCCGACAAAAGTAAAAGTAGAGTCCTGAACGCCATAAAATTGCGAGAAGCCGGGAAAGCAATACCACGAGATGGAATTCCACAAAATTGCCGCCCACTACCGCCGACGATCTTCCTGACTGTGGTCGACTGGACTGGACCATGCAACAACCTGTGAAGACTAAGAAGAGGACAATGTGCTGGCTGGACCGATGAAAAGACCACAGAAGATTCGGATTTCACCAACGATGATGATTTTATGTCTAGTGTCTCGTCGCACAAACTCGAAGATCTACAGGCGAATACAAACAAGTTGACAAAGAGGAAAAGCAGCGAAGACGGGACTTTAGGTGAATGTAGAGAAGACGGGGGTGATGAAGATAACCAACCCACCAACAATAACAGCGACAACAACAAGCACCAATCATCATCAACGGGAGAAATCTAAAGGATGTTGACTCTTTCGCCTACCTAGACAGGCAGCATCATCTCAATTACAGGTGGCGGCACAGATGATGATGTGAAAACAACCAGGATCGGAAAGACAGCAAAACAGGCCTTCATTAACCTGAAATCAGTGTGGAGATCTACTGCACTGCACTCAGTATAAAGTGTGAACAACATCCGGATTTTCAACACTAATTCAGTCAAGTAAGTCAGTGCTTCTATGTAATGGTTGAGAGACTTGATGGCGCGTTACGAAAAGCATTTCCAACACACTACAGACATTCATCAACAGCTGCCACCTACGCTCACTCTATACAGACACTGAAGATCAGATGGCCAGAATAATAAGAATAAGCAACAAGGAACTCACTTTTGTCTGGGGACGGACAAACCAAGAACCCATCGCCTTCAGAGGTCACCCTAGCAACAACTGAAACAATCAATTGAATTTCTTCATTGTGGCTGGGAAGGCAGATTTTCACAAAACAGAGTAGTCTAGTTAATTATTTCAGTTGTTGCTGGAGTGGCCTTTAAAGTCTCCCGACTTTAAAGAAGACAATTTTTCATGAAATAAAGAAACATGATTGGATGATCCGTCAGTTGCTAGGGTGGCCTTTGAAGTCACTCTTAAGGTCACCAGCTTTAAAGGCCACGCTTGCAACTTTTGAGATATGCAATTACGTTCCTCTATTTAATGAAAAACTGCTCTCCTAGGTGGAATAGCTAAACCTGATTGGCTATTTGGCTATTCAGGCAGTTGTTAGGATGGTCTTTAATTACTTCTTTAAAGCTATTCCAGTTACTTGAGTGAATTTAAAGGCCAGTCTAGCAACGTTTAGAACAGTATTTCGGGTAGGAAGTTAGGGTTCTATAAAATACAGATCCATAATTGGTGGCTGTTACTCAGAAATATAAGAGTGATTTTAAAGACACCCTAGCAACTTCTGAGATAACCAGTTACGATTCCCTACTTTATGAAAAACAACCTTTATAGCCGGAATACCGAAATCTGACTGGTTATTTCAGCAGTGACCAGGGTGACCTTTAAGGTTCCCCATCACAGACGACATTAGAGATAAGTAGGTGTAACTTATATCCTTTCCTTAGGAAAATGCGACCCCGTAACTGAATTCCAAAATATTTGAATAAGATTTTAAAAAACTCAGTTTTAAAATACATCTCGGTTACGGAATAGTATTACTAAAATTTTCAAGAATGAAAATGGTTTATCAACATATTGTTTATACAAGATAGGGAAATACTATCGTATATGTCTTGTTTACTTTCCTTTGACTGCCATCTTTATTTTCGTTTATGTAAATACCTTTCCATCAAAAGAAATTAAGGAAATACCTTAGTGTTTGGCAAACAAGCTGTGAGGGATGTCTGATCCCTAAAATACTAACTTATGTGTGTATTTTCACTATAAAATTCAAACCTTATTTTTGAGCTTTTTTTGCTCTATGCAGTGATACTTATTTTACTGCAGTTTACGATATTAAACACTGACAGGTCCAATTTACACTTTTAATATGCTATTTTGTATTCCCTGATCAAGACCCTTAAAAAGATACATAAACGACTGAACTGTCAGTTATTATGGCCCTATTCGGTTGAAGTAAATATACTTCTAATCCCATTGTCATCTTCTTCTGGTGTCAGCTGAGTATCATATTGAGAAGTCATTGTTCTATCGTTAATCGTATCGGGTAGGAGCATTATGTCGTTCAATATATATCAAAACAATGGCAGGCAATGAGGTTCAGAAACGGACTCCTCGGAGCTTAACAAATTTCAAGCACAACAAATGAAGATTACGGAGTCACTTACTTAATCCAGAAAACAAACAATTATAGTACTGAGGATAAAAATGCTAAAAACATTAAGTTATTTGGTTGTATGGCGGAAAGACAGAAAATGCAAATTATGTGAACTTTGGTCAAGGTGTGACCGAACGGTTTCACAAATGCTTTGCACTAAGAGGAAATCTACCATATGAGATATAAAAGTTATATTTGCACTAATCTCAGTGTACTTGTAATAAAACCATCCCAAATTTTCGGTGAGAAGTTTGATTTTCAGGATTGGACTGAATTGGTCGGTTACCATTGGTAAATGGGCTCTTATGTAGACGCCTTGGTATTACCTGTTGTTTCAGTTTAGATATAAGTGATGGATATTGGCTAGCAATGAAATCCAGTGATGCACGTTCAGTCCCATTTCGAACTTGTCAGCTGGATGTACATGCCTCTGTTAGTCATGAATAACACACTACAGTCAATCTGTTTGCACAACCCTTTTTACGATGGCTTTTACACATGATAAACAAATAGAACTGTGGATAAACCTTGGTGAGAATTTGCATCTACGAGCTTTAAGTATAGCAAGTCGATCGTATAATAAGTGATTAAACAGAGATTAAGAAAAAGTGAAATTAAGTATCTTTGTTAGCTTATTTCTGGCTAAATACACTTTCTTCATAATAATATATTGCAGAATTTTCTTAATAGACCACATATTTAGAAAAGTATTAAGCTTATCTGTTAAATCGAATGAGCTTGAAACACCAACTTTAGGTATAATTTACCAAACTGGATAGATATACGCTGTAGAATGAAATGACTAATCGTCGGTGAATGAGATGCTGTGATTCGATTTCAAGAATATTAACAGTAACATACCGTGAACAGCTATTTAGCGACTCCACTGGCAAAGATATGGAATCAGTTTGTATGAAGTGCGTCATGGACAGAGATAGGGTAGGAATTATTAGAAAAACTCATGATCTGCAGTTTGTGGCTATCAGCTAACTACCAACCAACAAGTTTAAAAATCTTCAATACATTAGTAACAAACAGATATTCAAGTTGATGTCTCAAGAGTTAACAAGACAGTATTTGCTACAACATACCTCCACAATTACTTCGTATGAATGAAATCCAATTACCATTAAATTTTGTAAACCTTATTTCGGTTTTCTTCCGAGATATCATTATAAAGTGTTTTAGAGTTCTTCAGAAATATCGTGGCCCGTTAACTGAAGCACCCGGCTTTCATGTAATGAGTCCTGAGTTCAAATCTCACCCTGCCTAGGTAACCGGTTAGTATCATAAGCCCTCGACTACCGAGACGCCTCAAAGTCCAATATATAAACACCAGACTCAACTACAGCACTACAAAAAGAAATTTAAGCTAAACATCTAAGGAAAAAACACTTAGAACTCTACGAAAAGACAAACGACAATGTCTCCCTAAATACATCAATTAGGTTGAAGTCGTTCAACACATTCAGGAAACTTAATTTGGGAGTTTGTGGGGATTTAGTGATTTTTTAAGTTGGTATTCATCATGGACTGACATCAGTTGGAGGAACATTGGAAATCTGGGAGTACTAGACAGCTGTTTCGTACTAGCATGGGGCTCCTCGGCAGTGCGCACCCATGACCCCATCGGGGATCGAACCCAGGACCTTCAGGTTCCGTGGCCAGCACGTCGCCATCGACTCACTGGGTTGGAAACCAACGTAGATAAAGTTGTGTGAGAGAAGAAACGGTCTGAAGATGACGGTTAGTACAAATATTCAAGGTTTCGAAGATGTCATGGAGTTAATACAACCGGCGTCATTGTAACTGATTTATAGCCATGTCACCAAGAGCCTTTAATCACTGATTCCTATCTCCTGGAGGACCACAGCCGAGTAGCCTGCATCTCCCTACATGGCTCAGACTAACAGTCAGGGACTTCATCAACTGGTGTCATGCCATGATTTGGTCCTCTTGAACCCTATTCTAACGTAATCTGAATACCCCTAACATGGCAAGACGAGGTAGGCGCTGGCTAGGCATGCGCAGTGCATGTCCAAACCATCTCAGTCAACCATGCTTCACAACCTCATTAATCGACTTGCCTGTATCGTCTAGAAGCTTACTCCTGACTTCAACATCGCTCACACAGTGATTTCAACAAACACGAGCAATGCTGAGAAGACACTTATGATCAAAACCCTGTAATCGCTTCATATCTCCTACTTTTATAACAGCCATATCCCACAGCCGTATAACAGAACAAAACGGAGTGTAGCTCAGTATACTAAGTACTAAAGTCAGTGAATATATAACTGATTATTGCTATCAGCATTATGTGCAGTAAAAGCTCACTACGACATTTCTTTCTAGCTACATAGTTACAATAAGATGTGTGAAAGATGTGTGAAAATTTAGTGTTAAATGTTACATCCTGTGACTAACTTAAGACGCAAAAACATTCTGATCTTCGCAGATATCAACACAAAAAAAATACAGCAAAGAAATTGACATCTCCAACAAAGAGATAAACAGATGTGTATAAAACAAAGTTTTGAATAGTTTTTTTTAGTGCACTCCAACTCATCTCACAAAAGATATAGTAACAACTATGCAAAACTGTTGAAGATTTTAAAATATTTAATAACTATAAAAACCGATCTCAGAAAATAAAAACGGTACTTACAAACAATTTGTCTTGAATAATTTTATATTGCAAATAGCCACAAAGTAAATCAGCCATTATGAAGATTAGTTTACCCCATATGTGAGCGATAACAGAAACATCAGGTATGCTTTGATGCCTTTGTGATTCATCAATTGGGATATCAAAAAATCTGAATTATTGCTCACTACTTGTGTACTAGTCAATGACTTTTTTCCCTTAGAGAATAGCCAATATCCTGGAGAAAGTAATATTGCAATGAGTGGTGAATATCGATAGGTAGGACGTTCAACATAAATATTTTTTCCATCGATAAAAGCTTGTGCAGCATCCGAAAACACATCGTAATCTACATCAGTGAATCGTAATTGACCATCTGGCCAACGAACTGAATCTTGCCACACAGAAAAAACTACTAATACAAGTCTTAGAATCAAGGCTAGTATAAAGTACAAACGATAATAACTACAGTCTGGATATACGGCTGTCGAAGAAACATACTGGTTATGATCTATGAGTTTATGTTTATGAGCATCCTCATCTAAATACATTTCAGAAGTATCTGCTACCTTTGTTGTTCGCTGGCGGATTTGTTTATCGGCACTGTAAGGTACTTCGATCGACTCATTATGCTTCACTTCAGCAGTATAGGTGCATAAATCAGAGTTAACATCTCCAGCGGAAACATCGTCGGCGGATGAAATAATATTCTTCTTAGAATTAATCAATATCATATCTCCACTTGGTTCATTTAAATCACTGATAGACAAATCCATAATCTAAAAAGTAGATAAAAAATAGTCTACATATTTAGCATAAAAGTAATGAACTAAGCACAGAAAACACAGTGATATCTTAAGCTTATTTCATGATCATTAAGAAAGGAATGTTGAACTTTGATTTTCGTTAGGTCATCCTATTAGCTATACAGCTTAGAACCAACACTTTATTAGCAATAAGCTATGCTAATACATATAACGTCCGGATATCTTAATAGGAAGTATAGTAAGCGGAACACTGAAAATAGTTACAAGTAAGAAAAGGATCTCCAATCAAAGCACTAATTAGCATGAATACCAATGAATGAGCAATTCAGTATACTTTTATAGGTATTATACAGCTTGCTGTGGACATAAATATGAGAAACTAGGAACTGTGGAAGAATATGTATACGGTTCATATAATAAAATGGATCGTTACCGATGGAAATCACACTCTCTGTAAATATGTTCCGAGAAATACATTTTATTATCCAAGTACTCACCCACTGAACCCTAAGAAAATATACAATAATGAAGATACTTTCCTTATGTGAGACCTCGCCAAATTTTGTCATCAACTTCACAGATAACACCAACGCCATAACGTACGATTTCAGTACATATTACACTCAGCTTCAAAAAAACGTAGGTAACGGATAAGCAAGTTAGCCATTCGATACTGAATAAATATATTGAATGATGATATCCAGCATGCTCAATCATACCTAAATTTATGAATTACTCATGTAGTGTTCCCATTGGAAGTGAGAAATCCTACGGCGACAGTTGTAATCTAACAATGGAATTCACCGAATACGGTAGCTAGGAAAGGCTGTCATGGTCATAGAAAACAAGAGATGAACCTTTGTGTACCCAAACTTACACAGTGGGATCGACAGAGGCCTAAGATAGTATTATCAAAATTACTAAGACAAACTAAATCCCCAGAAATTCATCGTCAGATGTCTTACACCAAACAAAAGGAAATTATTCTCAAGGACTGGTCTTTGATGAAACCTTATTCAGCAATAGGAAGCGAAACAATTAAGTGCGTCAGTCACTTCACCTACTTGGGAACTGGACCAGCCTTAGTGGGTCATTGGCCAACAAAATCTCTGCACGGATATAAAAGGCTCGTTTGGTTTCCGCTAACTTCGGGCATTTATAGCACCGATATAGCCCTGATATCCCATTGCTTATTAACAGTAAAAGTGTACTGCACTGCCGTTCACTCTGTTTTACGATATAGCTGCGTAAGATCCACACATTATCTTCATCTTAATCATCGTACAGAATTTCGTTATTATCTGATTTCTTTTCTTTCTCTTCTCATAACTCCCTTTCATTTTTGACTGCTTTCTTACTTCTTGTTTTGTCTTTCATCTTGATGCACTGTCGTTCGATGCAATGATATGAGATGTGGCAGCTTGAACCATTACACGGTTAAACTAGATCTCATGTTGATACTGACTGACTAATTACAAACTTATGACTAAAACTCAAAAATGATTAGTGTAGAAATTGAGTAACACGTATACCATAGCATAGTTGAACAATAACGTAGGCATATTCAAGGGTGGAGAACTTGTCTCTACACTACCGACGAAATGATAGTTTTCTCACCTTTTAAAGAATGTTATACTGACAATCTGAGAGGAATGAAGAAAACAAGTAACCCTCACTAACCCATTCGCTAGCTCCTGGAGCTGAGGCTCAATGGTTTAGGGAAATAACTGTCAACCAGTGGGTCAGGGGTTCGAACCCCGCTCCACCCACCGAGGTTTAGGTAGCCAGGTAGTATCACTAGACTTCAGTTTTCAAATGTAAATAAAACATCCATCACCAGAACATCCAAACTTGTTGACTGCACGTCAGTTTCTCAGATTTTTCACGTAAGCTGGGAAGACAGCGAAGGGAAGAAAACAAGACAAGCAGAATTTTGACTAGGTCAATATCGTCAACAAATAACTGTGAAGTGAGGGGAATTACTTTGTACCAATATACGATGAGGTGTTACTGTGCCTAAAGCAATAAAATGATGGCCTCAAGAACCAACTCTCTCACACACACCCGTAATTTTCGGGAGACTTATGAGTAGATGAAAGACAAGTGGAAAATGCCTACGAAGCTTGAGAAAAACAATTTCATAGACCATTCAGTGCCAAGAAAATACATAATCAAACGGAAATGTCAACTAATATCCTGTTAAATTCATTAAATCCTAACCAGATATACAGAAACAAATTCTGACAAACAACTTCACGTCAATTAAACCCACTAGCGAATCCATGCACTTTCGGTTACTTAAAATATCATCTAGAACTTCATAATATTACTGATTTCATACAACAAGACACGAATCAACATAGGGTAAAACTGACAAATGAGACAACAAACACTACGTTCAAGTATTTGATAGCCATAAACCAGATTATCTAAGTGAAAGTTGCAACAATAGACTTTTGAAATTGTTTAACATACACATATATATGACAAAGATTTTCTGTTTGACAACAAATAACTTCGTCTTCGAAAAATCTACACCTTAGAGAAACAAGAATGACCAATATCAGAGAGAAATACACTTTTTCCAATATCTTCTATGAAACGACTTTATGGTCTAAAACTGAATTCCCAGTATCTAGTATGAAACTAAATAGGAATAAAAAAAGTTAATAATAATGCGTGATCAAACTACGTTAAACAGAAGTTACATAAACATTCGATAATAGTAGTATCATATGGAAGCCATAAAGTTATTTGATCCAAATCTCAGAAATGAAATAAAAAAGATTCATATGAAGTCATTAAACAATTTTTAATGTACTGGGTGATGATCGAAGGTGAAATGAAAATTTGGACCATGGCCGGATTTCGAACCAGTGGACCACCAGGTTTCCGGCCGGATGCTTTACCAACTGAGCTACGAGATCCAACTGCTGACCAAATTTTTATTTCGCTTCAATCATCAAGGGTTTTGCCCAACTACCATGTGAATTGGTGACGCGTTACTACCACTTGATCGTATTCACACTAACTGCCTAGTTAGGACCTCTCATCCCAATCTACTTTAGTTTGATTGACTTGCTCTTGATATTGATGCAGTGAAGTCAACCAACATATGGAGGTTTGAAACAATTAATCCCCTTTAATAAGTTTCGCTAACGCTATTAGAAGATGAAGATTGTGTAGGAAATGTAATGTATTTGTGCAATACACTTCCAACAATCTGATCACCACCCATTTACTTGTCAATTTATATATGAAAATGAAAAAACGAAAGGTCACATATAATGAATATGAAAAGGTTGTGACACTAGTCTTGTGTGTACACACATACGTAGAGAGGAGTAATCGTGTTATGCAGATTAGGGTGGGTGAACATATACCTAAATGGCTTGGAAAACAATCTGAGATAGTCGTGATTTGGCAGACTAGTATTGTTACTGGGTGATGGTTTAAAGTGAAATGAAAATTTAGACCGCGGCTGGATTCGAACCAGCAACCACCGGGTTTCCGGCTCGGTGGTCACTGGTTCAAATCCGGCCACGGTCCAAATTTTCATTTCACCTTCATTCATTACCCAGTAACGCTACTAGTCTGCCAAACCATGTCTATTTCAGATGGTCAAAAATTATATATATATATATATATATATATATATATATATATATATATATATATATATATATATATATATACTTAAGTCTTATTAGGCTTCTTCAATGAGAACGTTGCTCAGTGTGCAGATTGTTGATTGCATTAGAATATCATAGTAGACTAGACAAATCACTTTACATCTTACATTATTTTCTAAACACAATCAACACCAGTTCAGGATTTTTTTAATCCTGATTCCATATTTATTACTGATTAATTCACTACTAACTAGATTATTTCACTTTGGATGTTTTGTCTACAGAAAATAGTTTATTCTGTTGAGTCTACAACCTTGTGAAACTATGATAAAAAGTGGGTCACCAGTTATGCTTAGAGACATAACGAATGTCTCTGACTTTTAAGAATAGCTGTTATTCGAGAGTAATCCGCCAGTTAGACAATTCGCAATCATTCCATTGGCTGGCCAGATCTTTTTAGTTTCAGCTGACTATCATTCTATCAGTACGCGCAACCAATCAAAAATTCCTTCTATGTAAAGTATACTGAACTCAGTAGCCATAAAAAGCTGTATGTCAGTTGGTAAATTATGATACCCAAAAGACATGATGAGAATAAAATTACCGCACTATTGAACAACGAAACAGGATTGTACATTACTAGATCTCATACAGTAAAAACTTAATAACAGTTAGGAACACAATTTGTTTGGTTGTCTTTTGCATCATAACAGTGGATTACAAACAACCGATCTATATATGATGAGAAAAATATTATTTAGACAAGATAACTTCCGAGAATACTTCAAACAATCATTCAACTGCACAAGGAAAAGAAATACCATGTCAAACCGAAAAAATTTATTATCAAAAAGGATGGATACAAGGAGACTAGAATCTCTGACAACAGTAATCCCGATGAAGGAATCAACAATGAAGAACTTTATGATTTTGTAAAAACAATAAAAGATCATATAATATTGAAACTTGCGTAGAATGCAGTCAAGTAAAAAAGAAATGTGTACAAGATAAAATGATATTCAAAATCAACAGAATCTCAGATACTTTAATCTATCGAGGATAAAAATGATAGAAATCTCGTAGAAACTTTTTCTCGGTTTGGAATCCCAATCAGTTGACGGAAGGCATTCAAAGGTTGATCGATGAATACACTTAGTTCTAGATAAACAGAAATTTAAAAAAATACTCGTGAATTCGACAAGTTAGAACTTTATAAATGAAAGCAACAATGAATAACTTTTACAAGCAAATGATTAAGACAAACAGATGCGTAAAGTTGCATAGCTACTGAAAACAATTATTATTATTACTATTATTAGTCCCTAGGGTTCCTAATGGAACATCGGGCTTCACTAGCACGTCTCCAGTGAACTCTGTTCTCTGAAATCCTTTCAACATGGCTCCACGACAGGTCACAAGCCCTCATTTCCTCCTCGCACGATCTCCTCCATGTCATCCTCACCTCGGACGCCCAACTCATCGTTTCCCCTTGGGATTCCACTCGAGGGCCTGGCCTGACGCGTGATGTCCCCAGTCGGCCTTCTCAATATATGCCCAATCCATCTCCAATTTCTTTCTATACATATTTGTTGCGTGATAGGTTGTTGGTTCGTTGCCAGAGTTCCATGTTGCTTATTCCTATTATTCTGGCCATCTGATCTTAAGTATCGAACCAGCGTAGGCAGCTGTCGATGATTGTCTGTAGTTTGTTGGAAATGCTTTTCGTGATACACCAAGTTTCTGAACCACATAGCAGCACTGACTTGACATTAGTATTGAAAATCCGGATCTTGTTCACGCTTTATGCTGAGCTCAGTAGATCCTTACACTGATTTAAGATTGGTGAAAGCCTGTCTTGCTTTTCTGATCCTGGTTTTGACATTTTCATCTGCTCCGCCTCCTGTAGTTGAAACGATGCTGTCTAGGCAGGTAGGTGAAAGAGAATACTTCCTTTTGGTTTCTCTCGTTAATGGTGATTGGTGCTTGTTGTTGATGCTGTTGTTGATTGGGTATCTTCATCACCTCCGTCTTCTCTACATTCACTTGAAGTCCCGTATTCGCTACCTCTTCTGCCAATTTGTTAGTTTTCGCTATAAACTGAACTAACTATCAGTCTTCTGATTCCCCTCTACAAATCACTTGGGTTGAACCGTCTCAACCATCGACTCTCAGTCGTAAATAATTGACTTTCGTTTTCACATATCCGTATTGTAACAAAACAAATCTTCCTCGATGACATTTCTTCAATAGTGTTATAACTTCTTATAGTCGATTCTACGGTTAGAACTACTGTCAAATGTATCAGCTCTGTAAAGACATCAAAGTAAAACATTCTACAGAATTAAAAGTTTACCACATACCTATGATTATAGCATTATTTCTGTTACCGAACTAAACACTCAATCAATCAATATCAATATAGGACCAGGCATTACTGCGTAACGGTCCGAGTTGCCATAGCTCATATCAGTAGGTCAAGTACAAAGGTAGTGAGGTGGAGGATGAAGATAAGAGAATGCAGTCAAAAGAAATATAAAGTACGAGAAGAAAGAAAGGAGGGATGATAAAATGGTGAGATTCGGTAGAGCGTCGCTAAGATGACGATAATGTGTGTATACATCTGCGCCACTGACATCGGTTCTAACCCATATCACCTAGAGTCTCCAACCACTATTTCCTCTTGTCCCGTAGACCCCAACCCACTAGTCTGCATCGACCCACATGGCTCAAACCAACAGTCAGAGACTTCATACATTGGTGCCATGTTTTAGTCTGACCACCTCGGGCCTTTTTCCAGCCTGAACCTACTTCGGCTAACATTGTGTGACGAGGCGATTGGTGACAAAATACCTCGAACACTTTTGCAAAGAAAACATTAAAATCAACAAGAAAAGGTAGATAAAATGTGAATGCAAAATAGAAGGCAAATATTTACCTTTCACATTGAGTTTATACTCAAATGTGTGTATGTGCGTGTACTGTGGTGTGTGTCAACAGGTATCCACTTTACACCACCGACAAACTAAATGAAATATACTTCAGCTATTGATTTTAAAGATTTTAGGTGTTGAAATTAAACGTATACTTTACGAATAATTGACTATACCGACTAACTAACACAACTGGTATACACAAAAAGGTTAGAAGACTTTGATAGTTGAATTTGATTCTATCCAAATGTTAAGAAACAAATCACTAAATGATTATATCACTAGACAAATGATCAGAAATATATATAGTTGATAGTATCTTATTTTCAATGAACTGATCATTCATAGAACTTAAAAAAGAAAAATGATATCAACCTCAGCGATGTAAAGCATCACTATTAGATTACCAAGCTCCTTTAAAACATATAACTAGTACAGTACTATTCATCATTGCTACTACGACGAAGATTTATGCATGAATATGTGAATAATACTTGTTCAAATTGAACAACTCACTCCTAAATATTCTTATTATCAATTCGCTATATACTAGTAAATATCTGCTAGTAAGCAATTATGATAAACTCTTACCAATCTAGTAAGTAAAGTATTTAAATGACTTCTACTAGAAAGGATTGACTAGATCTACTAATTATCTCATGAACACACTATTTTGCTTCATGATTGCTAAGTGGATTAAGCTTTGAGCTAAAATTCTAATGAGGTTTACTTGTGTAGGTTAAAATATCTGCTCACGACGTGGTGGTTTGACAACAAAAGTCAGAGGTAGGTGACTATATGATATGGTTAAGAATCAGTCTGCAGTGTACATGCATTCCATAAACCATCTTCGTCTTAGTCATCATTTGACTTCTCTTTATTTCATCCAGGTGCCTTCTATCTTAGTGTGTTGATGTGAAATGTAGCGAATTCAGTCATTATGCAGTAATGCTACGTTCTACGTTGTTTACTAACTGATTTGGCAGAGAAAAGTATACTTTGTGCAGTGGCACGTTTTAACATATGATTAGTTTGTGAATTCAGAAACTAAGCTTAAATAATGAACATTAACCATCATCATCATCAATATCTACAACCATAGTATCAATGAATTATTTTTCTGATGCAGACAAAAAGAAATCTCCAGCAAAGATAGTTAATCTCCCAGTCATAGTTATCCAAGTTATTACCCAATCAGTTTTATTATTGTAAAAAGGTGGTAGGAAAAAAAATTGAGACAGAGAGGAAGACACACAAATTTGGGATAAAACTCAAAAACTATAAACTGAAAATTAAACAGTTTACTTAAAAAGCTTTTTAACCACAATATCTCACACTTCAGTTCACTTGTATACCATAACGCACGGAAGGAATCTGTTTTCTGAAACCATAAGATATGACAAGGCTACAATCGAAGATACATAGAAATTCAATTTGGATGTTTATGAGAATTCATTATTTTCAAGTTGATAATCATAAGGGGATGATGAACTATTGAAAATCTGGAAGTGCTGGTGTAGTGGGTGCTATTGGTAAAAATGGATATAAGTAGCATATGCTGAGAGGACGGAAAAAATCGTAGGCAATTACCAGCGATCGGTAAAGATTCTCCCAAGAGAAACATAAGAGACAATGTAGGCGTATGAAGATCAAGTCGAGATAGAAGCAGAAGAGGAAATGAAACACATTGTGCAAATGACTATTTTAACGGAAAGTGTACAATATTTCATCAGTACTGTACAAGATCTCACAATAAACATTCTGTCCTAAGTCTCAGTTGTTTCATCCTCAGTAGTAGGTACTGACGAACATGAAATACATAGAAATTATTCTTTGGTATATCCCGATTAGGAAATACTTTAATCATAGACGGATTTACGACACTAATGATGCAAAAAATAACATCAAACCCCTGTGTAAAATCTAGTCTAGCCAATATCATTACGTTGGAAACACCTTCTTGAAAGCACTCAAAATTTACAGTGTTATAAATGTGTCCTATCACAAAAGCCAGAGACTAAGCTTGATTTCACAAATCATTTATACAACAACCACCAGAACGTCTTCAGGCATAAAGCCGCCTAATTCAAAAAACATAAAACACCGTGTATCCAAAACACAACAAAAGATGATCCATGAAAACTAAGGAAATAAAGGTATAAATAATGTGAATCATCTTAAGAAGAAGATACATCTATGAAGAGAATTCAACGGTTAAGAATTTCAATGAGAAAAGTACATATACCTGTGAAATTCAATAAAAAGCCACAATGCTATTTAAATCATTAATAAAAAGCTATCCACTCCCATGAATTGACAGAATCTGTAAATAAAAGTATTCAGCGAATCCAAAAACAGCTCATATTTGCGAAAATTCCAAGAGACAGTCTTTAAAGTCGGTACACACTAGCTTTGAATTTATGAATTCATTTTTGAATTCATGGATCGACATCAGTTGGAGGAACATTGGAAACCTGGGAGCACTGGACAGCTGTTTCGTTCTCGTTTGGGACTCCTCAGCAGCGGGCACCCATGACCCCACCAGGGGTCGAACCCAAGACTTTCAGGTCCCGTGGTCAGCACGTTGCCATTAAGCCATTTCGTCGGAATCTAATCGTCCACATTCCCTACTTCTGTCAGTTCACGATATAGTGCGACTTACATCCAATGTCGTCGTTGAGTAACTGTCCTTACGTTCGACCACGAAACCTGAAGGTCCTGCGTTCGACCCCTGGTGGGATCATGGGTGCGTACTGCTGAGGAGCCCCATACTAGGGCGAAACAACTGTCCAGTTCTCCCAAGTTTCCAATGTTTTTCCAACTGATGTCAGTCCATGATAAATTCCAACTTAAAATCAATTAATACACCTCCACAAACCTCCAGAGATAAAAATACCATAACCTTATTGAAACAAGTTAAATAAAAGCGTTATTCACAAATAAAAGATTGAATAGCTTACATTTTCATGAATCATTAATACTTGTGTGTTGTCTACGATTATTTAAAAGTTCAAAATAATTTTGTAAACCAATCTTATGCCGTGAACGGAAGATTACATGCCGTCTGAAGGATTGAAGATGTGCAGTTACCGCTTCAACACTTAAAGATTCCTTTGACATTAAATAACAAGCCAAAAGAAAGGCTGAACGTGTACGACCAGCTTTACAATGAATATAAACACATCCATTAGACTGTATACATCCATTGATAAATGAGATCCCAGCATCAATCTTTTCAAAGTGAAATGTATAAAAGAAAATAATAAAATACAATGATGAATATAAAGATCCATATTCAACACAATCTGATACAATTCCATCACGTTCCTCTTACAATTTAATGTATCGTTGTACAGTTATAAGCTTTGATCTATAGTATAAACAAAACCATAAAATAAGACACATCATCATGCACATAATTATAAAAAAGGTACACAAAAAATACTCCGTTATAGCCAACATGTACCTTCTTTCAGTATCGAGTATCATTAAACAGCTGTTAAGAGTGACTCAACTCTGCATATATATTTAAAGGCAGAGTTTCAGTGAACTAACTACCATACATGACTTCTCACCCTCAAATACAAAGAATCGGGTTCAACACCTTGAGATTTGAAACTAATAACTTATTTTTGAGATGAATGGGGAATTTTAATTTAGAAGTGAAGTGGATGTTAACTGAAGACCTTGGGTGACAGTCGCGCTATGTTGTGAATTGACAGAAGTTGGAAATTGTGAACCACTGGAAACCGACCCAGTGGCTGAATGGCTAACGCGTTCGCCATGAAACCTGAAGGTCCTGAGTTCGATCCCTAGCCGGGTCATGGATGCATACTGCTCAGCAGTCCCATAATAGGACGAAATAGCTGTCCAGTGCTCCCAGATTTCCAATGGTTCCCCAACTGATGTCAGCCCATGATGAATACTACTTCTTAATAATTTATTCACATAACAATAGAATAAATGATCAGTTCAACTACAGCAAGCGGAAAATTCGGAACTACCACCTTGTAATTGTCAAATACACATCTCAACAGCAATATCATTCATACCACTAGGTTTCGTTTCAATAAAAACCCAGATATCAAAATTATATCACTTTATTCATGTGATTAATTTCTGATAAGTAGATGCAGGGAATACACATAAAAATTACACGAATTGCTCACTGGAAAGCAACTAACTTCATTCTGTCTAGTCCTGAGTGTTGACCGAATTCTATCGATCATTTCACAATGTGGCCACCAAGCCAGGAGGCTCACCCACCATCGCGATACACTTGAGTGCATTTCAGTTGTTTAGAAGCAACAGGCAGAAAGAGCTGGACCTACGTTTTGTGCTTATCGGAGCTCATCAGTAAGGTATATCTGCAACCTCGAAGAGACCTGATGTCCCACTGAGCTATTTCAACTGAAATAGCTCAGTGGGACATCAGGTCTCTTCGAGGTTGCAGATACACCTTACTGACAAGTTTCAACAAGTACGAAACCTAGGTCGAGAGCTTCCTAACAATTTTTTTCCAACCAACTGATATGCACACAAAATTTGCCAAAAGAATGCGCATACCAATGAATATTGTACGATAAAGAAACAGAAATTACACAGAAACCAAACTTTTTATACTCTAAAATGTATTGGTAGTTTTATTGGTCACCAAAGACAAATCTCTATGTCCAGAGCTTTCGCCAACAGTTTATACAAACATTTCCGGTGTATTATCCTAGTTAAAATTAATTATCATATTATACTCCATACTACCAACAACCAATAAACCCTTTTTTAAGAAACAAATAATATACCCAGAGGTTCAATCCTCTAAACCGACGGAAATCGATGACAGATTGACTGACTGACAAAATCAATGTAGAACCTCCCACACAAGCGCATCCATTCAAGTTGCCATACTTCACAATTGTACATAAAGAACAGGTGGATAGAAAAAGAAAGATTCTAAAGTAGACAAAGTTGTGAAAGAGAACAAACAATTTGAAGATAAAGGTTAGTGTGAATATTCAAAGTTTAGATGTCAAGGAGTGAATACATCTGCACCATTGTGATTAATTTTCAGCCATGTCACCAAGAGTTCTCAACCACAGATTCCTTTCATCTTGAGGACTACAACCAGGTAGCATACATCTCCCCACATAGCTCAGGCCAATAGTAAAGGACTTTATCGAGGGGTGCCAAGGTCTTGGTCTGCTCAGTTTGGACTCTCTTCCAACATAACTGAACTTCCCCTAGAGCAGCACGTTGAGGTAGGCGGTGGCATGCGCAGTACATATCCAAGCCACCTCAGTCGACTAACGTTCACAACCTCGTTAATCGACTCAGCTGTCTTACCTATTACCCTTCACCTGACCTCAACATTGCTCATACAGTGATTCCACGAAACGCAAGCATTGCTACCAAAACATCCGTGATCAAAACCGTGTTATCATTTCATGTCTTCTACTTTTAACGGTCGTATATCGCAGCAGTACAACAGAACAGAACGAACTGCAGCGCAGTACACTAGTCCTTTGATACATATTCGGATATCTCGCCACTGAGCCAGCCCCACGGGTGACACAAATTGGCCTTCTGTATCTGAGCTGAGATTTGGTCAGCAACTAGCCAGTTCGGGTTGATACAACGTCCCAAGTGAAGTGGTCGACACATTCCACCACTTCATTCCCTATCACTAAGCTGGGAGTGGTTGCTCATCAGTCTTGGAGCATTATCTTACATCTGACAGGTGCCAGCGAAACGCATGCCAAACATACTGCGATTTCTGTCCAAGGAGTTCATAAGACCCTACATTGCGTCAGCGTCTTCAACTGGTGGGAGAATATCATCTACATATTCCAAGTCAACTAGATGACTTCCAGGGAGTAGGTCAATACCAGTGAATTCAGACATACCTAAGGTTATGTCCACTAGTACATCTATGACGAAGCTGAATAGAAACGGTGGTGGTGGACATTCCTGCCAGACACCATTCAACATCAACTCACTTGACAACTCTCCATAAGCCTTGACACAGCTGCGTGAGTTCGAGTAGACAGCTGTGATAAGCATTATATACTTTCTCGGTAATCTCATCACAATCAGACACTGCAATAACGCCTCATGGTCGACGGAGTCCGATGCCTTCCACAGGTCAACAAATATGGTAAAGATCAGCCACTGACCTGCAAGTATATCTGCGTCCCAGGACTTGTCGGAGGGTAAAAATATGATCCATGCGCCGCAGTTTAGCTCTGTCTTAAACCTGTCTGATTTTCTTGAGTTTACGGTCCTGGAGGTCCAGTTAGGCGTTAGATAACTAAAGACTCAAGGATCTTGGACACAATATGAGTCAAATTAATTCCCCTAGATTTTTCACAAGACTTCCCTCACTTCTCATAAACTGGGATGATTAATGGACTAGACCAGTCCGACGACACTAGCTCTGATTACTATATACTACCTAGTACCCCGCTTCTCTACCTAGTAATTTCCTACCATCCTTAAAATCTTCGGTTGACAAACTGTTAGGTGCTGCTACTGCTTTTCATTGTTTCAAGTTCCATACAGCCTCCTCAGCTTCAAAGAAAGTTGGAGAACCGGTATTTACTTCCCATTCATGTTCAGGCTGGATATTAGGCAGCTAAAGTGATACTGAGGGCCAGTTAAACTGTGCTTCAAAGTTTTCCGCTTAATGTTCTAGCCACGAGCTCTGGGCAGTAATCAGCGTTACATTCTTTCCGGTAACGGTTTCACTCACTATTATCTTATTATCGGTATGTTTCGTAAGCCTAAATAATTTTCCAGTGTTACCCAAAGCTGATGCCTTCTCCTACTGCCTCGCTTTCACGTCTCACCACTCTTCGCTATCGACGAGAAGACTCTTCGTCAACTTACGTCTAAGTCGGTTTCGCTCTTCATAGTGGTTAAAGCCAGCTGGAATCAGTCTTCTCGCATCAATTATTTTGGATGACGTCGCAAAAATCCAATAACGTTTTCTAACCTTCGGGTGTAGGTTAACAACTGTCTTTGCAGCTGTTTCTACAGCAGACCTAAAGTCACGCCTGGTTTCCTCAGGATGAGCATTGTTGTCATGTTCAGATAAATACTTAGCTAACTCCTCTATAAACGCGTATTTGGCACCCTCACCTTTCAATCTGTCATAGACAGGATTTACTATCTGTTTTCTGCGACATACATGAGCCCATACCACCACATGATCCGAGTCCGAACTGGTACTTCAGAAAGAGTGGGAATCCTCCATCGATCCTCTCTAATCATGGCTTATAGCAACGTGATCTATCTGTGTCCATCGTTAAAGTCGGTGAACGCCACGTAAAACAATGTCTCTCCTTACCCCTAAAGCTAGTACTGGCTGCTAGATAAAGATGATTGTCGGAGCGAAATTGTAACCGACAACCATCACTATCGGTTCGCTGGCATGTGATTCCGTATATGTCTTCATTATGCCTTTTCGATTGCCTTAACTTCCCTACTTGAGCGTTGAAGTCACCTGCCATTATGACTATATCTGAACTTTTTGCTTTCTATAAATAAATTGATAGCTTCTCATAGAATTCATTCTTTGCATCAGCTGAGACCACGAAAAGGCATCCGATGATCTCACCATCCTGCAGTCGAATAGCACATAGACGGCTGGTGACTGGTATCCAGTCGAAAAGCACACTTCCTGCCCTATAGCTCAACACCATACCTACACAAGCTAGTCCACAAGAGCTAGCCGTTGGGTTTCCGGATACTCATAAGTTTTGAAGATCCACTACTATGGCCGGATGAGACCAGTTTAAAAACCACATTCGGCTCCAGTATACGTGTCTCTGAGACATAGTACAAACCACTGGCTCGAGATTCCAGAGTTTTGGCAAGCGGTGCTTGCTGTTCGATTTGGCTTAAAGTTCGGACGTTGAAACCTTCTGTATGAAGTGGATGAAGAGGTCTTAGGAGACTAGAAATGAGGCTCCCATGGTTTTGATCGTTGGCAATGGTTGTAGAGTGAGAGGTTGGGTAAGGTGTAAGAGGCTTAACATTAGTATCAGGAAGTGAAGGTAAAGGAGGAGATAGAGTTGGGGAGGATGGGTTGTATTTGATCAGGTCTTCCATATCATTGGAAGTGTGTGGGAAGTTGACAGTTCCCAACAGCCCACACTGTGGAAGGTTATTTCTTCTTAAGGTACCTGAAAAAGAAGAGATAGTATCTGACCGCAGAGTCCATGGGATATCCACTTGAGGCCAGTCACACACGGCCTTTTGGCATTTTGAGAATTTGGTTTTTCGCTTTTGAATCTGACTATGAATCCCTGTTGCAAGCATCGGCATCCCATGAGGAGATGGTGTGTTATTTTCAGGGCAAATCTTTTCTACCCCCTTCCCATTGGGACGGGTTAGGGTGGCACTTGTGGTCATCCATGGGACCAGCTTACTGCTGTTACACCAGTAGTGCAACTTCACCCTCAGTGTAGTAATCCACACTACAACCATAACTGCCTTCATCATACCACTATCCAACAGACCTTTCTGGCATGGTAGGACCTTGAGGGAACAAGTGTCCCCACCACGGTAGCTCGTTGGATCATTCTGATATGCAAGTCCAACCACCACGTCAAAGTAGCAGCTATAGGTCGAAGGAAATCGACTAGTTAGATCGTAAAAACTTCCCCATATTTGCACGTTCAATTATCTAAAAAAAGCTGGGATAGTTTTAACGGACTGTTGCAAAAGATACTAGGAAAGGTAACCGTTTACAAAACTTCCTGTGTCCACAACAAAACACAAATTTCAACACGAATATTGTCTCCTAAGATATTTGACAAACCGCTAGGATAATTTTCGGAAATGACAAAACAATCCCGATGAACGAAGGCTATTTTTAACTAAATGGTAAATCTCCATTGTACTTTCAGAATCATACAGAGTTTTTAGAAAAATTCTGTACGGTAAACTCACCAAAAACTACAACAGAAAGCATTGCTTGAGACAGTACCCAGTTCAATTCTTATTGACTATTTGGCTTTCATAAACACCTAGACACCACAACACATATTACATTTCGACCACCAACCATATGCCAAAAGCGCCTGGTGTTTAAGTTCCGAATGCTAAATATGTCTTTATTTTTCAGATGAAAAGGTAGAAACAAAAACAGTACTTTATGCATACTTGGTTTTTGCCAGTAAAAAGTAAAACTTAGTTGTTCCGTTTTACCAAAAACGAAAATTCAGCAACATCTATCAAGAAGGCCTATTAAAAACGTTGGACAACGTATCGCATAATTCAGTGTGGAGGTTTATGAGGATTTCTTTATTGATTTCAGGCTAATATTCACCACGGACCGATATCAGTTGAAGAACCGTTGGACACCTTGTAGCACTGGACAGCTGTTTGTCCTAGTATACGATTGCTCAGCAATGCGAACTCATGACCCTGCCAGGGATTGAACCTAGGACCTTCAGGTCCCACGACCGGCACCATTAAGCGATTGAATCGAAATATAACGATCCACATTTCTTACTATCATTGGATCCCGACGTAGTGGCTCAATAGCAATGAGCTGTCCATGAAACCTTAAGGACCTGGGTTCAACCATGGCAGGGTAATGAGTTCGCACTTCTGAGCAATCCCATACTAGGATGAAACAGCTGTCCAGTGCTTCCTGGTTTCCAATGGTTCTCCAATTGACGTCAGTCCATGATGAATATCAATCTGAAAAAATATCGCGTAATTTTACCGAGTTCATATGGGAAAACACATTGCGAACCAATAAATTTGATCTTGAAAGTTGTATACTTTGTTTCTAAGCGATGAATTAACAAACACATCAGGCAACAACCCCCTTTTTAAACAGAAATCTTCATTTTCCGTAAATTTCCTACAGGTTTGAAATAATCTGGAATAGAATAAATGCTGAAATATTTGATAACCAACTAGATGACCACAAAACTTATGAAAACAGTTCGTCGGTTAAATTTACAATATGGATAGAATCAAAATTGGCCAACTTTGGTAGCCAGATCAGACAAACAGAAATGATTTATCGATAGGATTTTGGGCTATTTCATTAAAAGTCAACAAATGAAGACCTTAAATATTACAGAAACCCCGTTCAATCAATCTAAACTTTTTTCATCCAACTCATGATATAATTTGATAGATTTTTGATTTGACCCCATATCTTGGTGAAAAAACTGAGGTTTCATCAACCTATTTTACCAGAAGCATTCGCCACACATCAAGGTGGATAGTGATTGAGTAAAGTTAGTATACGTTGAAATTGCTTAAATAGCGGACAGTTTATAGTATTATCAAATGACTGCCTAACTATACCAACCTCACCACTGTACATATTACATCCAAACCATACACCATAGATGTGAAAAAGTAACATAAACAACAATTTAGAACAATTACCATTTGCTATAAACAATAAAAGTAAAGCAATATGTGTAGTAACTAACTGGTACAGGAAAACTATCATAACCTCAGAACTAAAACTTGATAATTGTTTTGTTTACTTAATAAAATGAAAGATACTCACTTGTTCAACTGTAGGGACTCCCCAAAAATCTTGAACAGGTAAGGAGAGATATTTAATACCTCGGTCTTTAGCATCCTTCTCTCCTATAACAAATGATTTTACTTCGAATGGTTCTAATAGGCTAATTATGTGTGTAAAATTTTCATCAGCTTGCCATTTGTCCCAAAACTTTCTCAATGGTAAACCGCCCAAAACCAAACAAGGAGAAACACGAGAATACCAGGGACGACCGTAATAGTGATACATTACTAGCCCATAGGCTGTACTGACGTAAAAAGCAACTTCGTTTAGGATAACCTGTAGGGTTATTAAATTACGAACAGAGTATAAAATGTAAATAGATTAGTAAAATACATGTGTAATAAGATCATTGATACTATATTGTCAGTGATATGTAGGTTTTGACCAAGAGTTGATACAGACACCTCTAAACCTTCACAATCAAGATGTACCCTGAATATCAATGGAAATGAGTTCATCTATGTAATGAACTTACTTACTAGCAGATCCACCGCAGATTCGATGGACTCAAAACCACTCAGATAATAAAAAAAATCTATTTTATAATTATAACAGCTAGCGTGTAACATGCAACCACATGAAACCTGTCATTTTCTGAATAACAGTGATCAAGTGCTGAAAAAACTTTGTCCCTGCCTTTGCTGATCTTATCTTTCTGTAAAATAGCATGAATCATTGCATCTTTGTAAGAGGTTCCACGTCAACTTTTCTGCCACTTAATGCTTTTTGGTCAACCTAGTACTTCTTAACAGTTATTTGTAGGCATAATAACAATAAAGAGTAAGATGTACCTTTCTATAGCTTACTTCGGAGTTTGGTGCGAGTGTAAGGGATATTATTTCTTTCCCAAGCAGTGTGTTACAGGCAAATTGCACAAAATCATGAGTAAGCAGTTTTCCAAATATATAAGAGCTGTAAGACATCAGTAGTTTATTCTGAGCTTCTAAGCACAAGTGAAATGACTGACATAATTTAAACTGCAGTTGGGTGCTACTGATAAAAATGGATATAAGTGGTATATGGTGATGTAGGCAGAAATCATAGGTAATTACCAGCGATAGGTAAATATTCTGTACAGAGAAACGCAAGAGCCAGTGTGTGCGCATGAAGAGGAAAACGAGATAGGAGAATAAGGGGAACTGAAACACATTGTGCAAATGAATATTTCTATGGAAAGGTTACTATATTTCATCAGAAATGTTCAGTGTTATTATAAACATTCTTCTGCGTTTACTTTATCCTCTACTGTTTTCTTACAATACTAAACGAGTAGGTGAACACCAAACATGACTTCCTATAAATACAAATGCTAATTAACAGTAGTCATTATGCACCACCGACGCCTGATTTTCTACGCACATAGTAATCCGATAAATTTTCCAAACTACAATGTGCATATATATACAATTTGTGAGTGTACAAGAGTCTGTTATCTTTCGCGGTTCATTAGTCCTGCATAATTTTACTGGTTAACTAAAAACAAACACACAGTATACATTCGAAGAAAGAAAAGATAACAAATTTCGTCATTGCATCATTTATTCATTTCAAAACAAATTTCCTGCCTTCTTCAAAAGCAAAACAAGTACTATACATTAAGGATTAGGATTTCTGTCCCATTTCTTTATTCATTTCGACACTTTGTCGAGCTTGCCGAAGACAATCCTCGAGTATCATTTGTTTATTCATGTCTAATGGTTCTACCTTAATGAAAAGCTAAAATTAAAAAAGATATAAGGAACTACTAATGAGAGCAGAAAATAAACACATCAAACATAAAAGGGAAATGAGAAACGTGTAGTGATTCACAATACACAAAAGTTACGAAAGTAAATTATGATAATATCAAAAAGAGCAACATGATAACAGTAGAATTCATAAAGAATACAAGGGATCTGATTTGGGGTTTGAAAAAACACTCCCATACACGGGTTTAAGGTATGCCGTGCAATGCATAAACCCATAGGCTCTCGTATACAATAAATGACTTTGAACTGGGCAGCAAGCAGCCTCTGACAGTTAGTGCTACAAATGATCCCCGTTCAGTTTTACAACTAATTGCTGAAAATTCTCATTATGAAAATTGTAAAAAGACATGTAAGTGAACAATATTATTTTCAATTAGATCTCTGTGTGTGTGTGTGTGTGTGTGTGTGTGTGTGTGTGTGTGTGTGTGACTCTAATATACATAGCCTTCAATATATTTGTAAAATATCAACCAATCAAGATAATTTGTTGGACAACGACAACAAGGAAAAGGGATTGTAAAAAGGTTAATACGAATGTTCATAATGACACGACAATGTAAAAAGGTGTTTAGACAGATAGACGGACAAAGGTTTTGGGACACGGACACGCTCACCGACACCAAACACTAGCTGTATTTCTCGACCTAAAGGCGGCATTCGACTCCGTTGATCGAGAAGCCTTATGGCAATTTCTGTCACTGAAAGGCGTGCCTAGTAAGTACATCACCTTATTCAAGGCTCTCTACTCGAACACTTGTGGGTGTGTTAGGGCCTACGGTGAGATGTCCAGGGAGCTATACTCATTGAGTGGTGTCCGTCAAGGGTGCCCACTGTCTCCATTCTCATTCAATTTTATCATAGATATTCTCATGGAGGTCTCCCTTTCTCGTCACCTGACTACACAGAGGTTGACCTAATCACAGGAGAATTTTCGTTAAACCTAGAATACGCAGATGACATAGTCCTGTTAGGTGAAGACGCTGACAACATGCAGAGTCTTCTGAACACTATGAGTGGGAATTTGAGAATGTTTGGGATGCGGTTCTCACCACCTAAATGCAAATTGTTGCTCCAGAATTGGTCTTCAACGGTGCCACGGCTAACAATAGTGTAGTGATTGAGTGTGTCGGCAACTTCACTCACCTGGGAAGTATGGTCAACTCTGGTGGCTCAGTGGCCGATGAAATCTCTGCACGGATGCAAGAGGCTCGGCTGGCTGTCCCCAACTTACGTCACCTGTGACGCCACCACGATATCCGATTGTCTGTTACGGGTCGCGTGCACTGCATAGCAGTTCGCTCTGTTCTACTGTACAGCTGTGAAACATGACCATTGAAAGTGGACTATATGAGAAGGCTTCAGATGTTTGATCACCGTTTCCTTCGTAGTATAGGCCGTATTTTGTGGTGTCCCCACGTGAGTAATGCAGACGTCAGGTGTAGAGTTTTAGGGAGTAGAGGTAAATCAGCTGAGGTTATGAACCTTCATCGACTAAGATGGTTGGGACACGTATTACGTATGCCTAATCGCCGATTGCCTCGTCACACAATGTTGGCCGAAGTAGGTTCAGGCTGGAAAAAGGCCCGAGGTGGTCAGACTAAAACATGGCACCAATGTATAAAGTCTTTGACTGTTGGTTTAAGCCATGTGGGTCGATGCAGATTAGTCGGTTGGGGTCTGCGGGACAAGAGAAACAAGTGGTTGGAGACTGACTTTAGACGATATAGCTCAGAACCGATGGCAGGGGTGTAGATGTATACACATACACTGTACCGAATCACAGCATTTTCTCATTCTTCCTTTCTCTCCTTTATTACTTTATATTTACTTTGACTGAATTTTCTTTTCTTCATCCTGCGCCTAACTGTCTTTTTGCTTGACATACTGATATGAGCTATGGCAACTCGGACCGTTACGCAATAATGCCTGATCATATGTTGATTTGGATGGATGGATGGATGGATGTGATACTGGAAGTTGAAGGCGGTGAATAAATAAGAGTTGAATGTGAGTATAGTAGTGTGAAAGGGGTGACAAAATGAAATAAAACAAAAAGGAGAAGTACATTTTAAGATTCATAAGTAAGGTCATTCATTAGGTTCTCCCTGGCCAAGGCAGGGATAAAGGCTGTACGAATTTCTTCTGGATACAGATCTTTGGATTGTTTATTTGAATTCCTATAGCCGCAGCTATATGTAAAAGGCGGATTCGAACTACATTTCAAATTGCCAGCCCCCCCCCCATTCACACTACTATGATAATCACATTCAACTCTTATTTATTCATCGCCTTCAACCTCCAGTATCACACAACCTTATTGTCCTTATTTGTTTTTCAGTCTTTGACCTAATTTGTCCGTCTATCTGTCTAAACACCTTTTTACATTGTCGTGTCATTATGAACATTCGTATTAACCTTTTTACAATCCCTTTTCCTTGTTGTCGTTGTCCAACAAATTATCTTGATTGGTTGATATTTTACAAATATGTTGAAGGTTATGTATATTAGAGTCAGAGAGAGAGATCTAATTGAAAACAATATTGTTCGCTTACATGCCTGATTATAACTTACAACTAATTAACAACGAGCAAAATCTTCATTGAAAATGAAATGTATCGTAGAGTCTCTATTTCTTCACCTGTTGGGTCAGATAACTGTCCTTCATATGAATACAAACAGCACGTCTAAACAACATTAATAAGGTATCTAATCTCGATATTGGGTTTTTAGTTTTCTTATTCACCTGAAACTTTCATCAAGTTTCTTGCAAAGAACAATTCGTCAATTCATATCATTTTCACTGACTTTGAGTTTCAAGAAGACTGTACGGCGACAGTAATCTGAGGGCCGTACATCAGTGCCATAAATATTTACACTTTATGATATTTGTTCTGCCATCCACGACAAAGTAAACTAACTAGCTCCAAGCATCAAAATTGATGTGCGAATTAAAGTAAGTAATTAATATGGAACTCAGAACTAAATAGGGAAAAACTGATATCTCATAAAGAGACTGAAACAAACAGTCAATGAAAATCTCTAACTAAAACTGTCATTAAATTTTGAGGGAGTTGTGGAGATTTGGAAATATTTCAAGCTGTTATTCATCGTAGACTGACATCAGTTGGAGGAACAAAGGAAACCTGGGAGCACTGGACAGCTGTTTCGTCCTAGTATAGGACTCCTCAGCAGTGCGCACCCACGACCCCGCACCACAAGGGATTGAACCCGCGACCTTCACGTTCTGCGGCCAGCGCGTTTTCATTGAGCCACTGGGTTAGAATCCAATGCTCCATATTTCCAACTTCTGTTAACTCACGATATAGCGCAACCGCAACTATAGCGCAACCATACTAGGACGAAACAGTTGTCCAGTGCTCCCAGGTTTCCTTTGTTCCTCCAAATGATGTCAGTCTACGATGAATAACAACTTGAAATAAAACTGTTATTATCACTTGTGAGCAGTAGATACTAAGGATACTTGAAACCATATCAAACGACAATAGGTATGATCACGTACTATCATTCGTAAAATAATATACAAAAAGGCCAAGAGTAGTAATCAAAGCAATCTTAAGAAGACTACGACAAATAACAGATATACCCCTAAAAAACAGAACTAGCAAAATACGTACTGACCGGTACATATAGTTCAGATGTATACCAAACAATACACTCGATAACGTCGAGTTCAAAATGCAATCACGACCAAGCCAGAATCGATCTACTCAATATCACCATATAAACAGGTGTGAAAGGCGGATTACTACATTATTCATTAAAACTTAGAATAATATCTATATGATATATGTAAACTAACTAAGGGGGATAGGATATTCAACTTCAAATTAAAAATCAGATGACCTGATACATGTAGAGTTTGTTATTATTTCTGGAATACCGTTTTACAACCTTAAGTTCATTTCTCTGACAAGGGGAGTTCTATTTACAGACTTTACAAAGCGACGGTGTTCCAGTAAAAGCCAAGTACTAAAAGCGACACTCAAGAGGTTTCAAAATCCTGATCTTCAACAAACGGTACACTCGGGTCAATCATAACTATCAGGAGTGCAACTTCTACAATTCATCTACTACCTTACGACATAAAAGTTTAATTCAAAGACTTGAGGAGTAAGTCCCTTGACACAGTGATATGCAAGTAAAACTTCAACATTGTCGTACATTTTAATTCCAGCTCTTTAGGCGTATCAAACAGTGAAATAATACTATGAGACACAATTTACCGTTCACAGTCATATCAAGGTGACTCTACATCTGAGACATGGGGTTTATATAGTTCAGATTTTCTCCCCTCCTTTGTGACATAGGTAGTGAAATTTTCCACATGTCTGGAATAGCTGCTGAGTCATTCTTACCACGTGTACTTGGTGTTGATCTGATAAACATATATTCGGTTATCGATCTTTCCCTCCACCCAACTTGGTCATCTCTAGGACTGTCACTCTGCTTCATCCTATTGTGTTGTTGAGTGTATCTACGCGCACGGCAATACCAGGGCACTGCTCTGCTGTTGAACTTACTGATACCAACTAATATTAAGTTATCTTAGACTTTGCGTCTGAATAGCTTCATTCACCTTGGTCGACTATCATGGCCTTCATATTTGACCTCGCAATCATTGCAAGAAATTTAATAAACTAGATTATTTTGCCTTGGATAAGATCTTTTAAGCTACGAACCTCGTTTCGAAGTGAATTTGTAGGTTTAAATGCTATTCCAACCGAAAACTCATTAAAGATCCTACGTCTCTGAAATGTCTTCCTCTCATGGTAACACTATAGGTGTTTTGAATTCTCTCTTTACAGTGATGCAATTATTATTATTATTGTCGACAGCTGTATTGTCATATTTCTCCTAAAATTCCTAATGAATATATTGATTATTCCAGGAGGGAAACTAATATAAGAGTAAAACTTTGACACTGTGGTCGATTGTAATTCCATTTTAGTCTGTTTATTAGAAATATCATACAGTGAAACAGTAGCACTTACTGGATAACGTTTCGGATACAATTTATTGTCCATATTCATATCAGATAACTCCGCAACTTTGAGACAGTTTATATAGGCCTAATTTTTTCTCTTTTTCTATGATGACAAGGGAAGTAGAATTTTTCATACATCTGAGACAGGTGCAGAGTCATTTCGATTGAATGTATTTGGTGTTGATTCGATAAACAAAGATTCGGTTATCAATCTCTCCCTCAACACTATCACTCTATCTCACCCTACTGTGTGATTGTATGTCATCGCATGCAGAGCTATCACCAAGCTTTTCTCTAGATTTCTTATCTTATAGGATTTACTAATCTTGATTTAGCTAAGTTTTTGTGCTCTGTTATTCTAATCCACCCTGGTCGACTGCTTTCACCTATGTACTTGACCTCGCAATCATTGTAAGGGATTTGGTAAACCATAATAGGGTATACTGGTAATCTCACGGCAACTCTTTCTGTTTGTATGTATATTTTATTCGGAAATTTAAAGATTATATTTGTCAGATATAACTGTAATCTCTGCAGGATCCCCTTAACTGGTATTTTTGTTCGAAGCGTAAGCTCATGGTCATCATTGAGCTTATATTTGACTGCCTCCAGAACCATCTGAATTGGTCTATTAGTATGCAAGCTAGTTACAGCAAAACTAACTATTTTAAATGCATGAGATATCTAATCTATGCCTTAAGTCATAAGAAGTTTAGATTTCAAGCAATTTCTGAATGAACCCAGTGAATTTCTAATTATTCAGACAACTCGTAAATCTGAGTGTTTCTAAAATATACTACGGATCTGATGGAATGATCTGGCTTATGAATCTGCTGGAATTATTAATCCTTGGAAGTAAATTAAACTATTTTGACTCACTAAAAAATGGTTGTATTTGGCAAAATAAATCTGCTATGCATTTCTTAATCTTATATATAACAGTGTCTACTGGTTTCTTAATTTGCTCATACGGTCCTGTATCTAAATTTTCACTGGCTTTCCAAATGTAATCAGATTACCTAGATATTACTGTTGATCTGCATTTTTCTAACTTTGTAATTACTATATCATCTTCAAAGTTCTCCAAAGCTTTCATTTTCGGTTTTATTATGCTTTGTTTCATTTTCTTCCTTCACTCAATGGTCTGCTTCAGCCTGAGTGTAGACAGCATCTTGGTGCTCATGCAACCCATATCACATTCTAAATAGAACATGATGCCCTCTGTGATATCCACTTACCAAATTTATATTAAATTAAATGAACGAAGAAAAGAACTAACCTACTTCTCGTACAAAGTTTATCAGTTTCGTCCAATGAGAAGGAACACTCAATACGGTAAATAATAAATAATAGTTCAAAAATAGCAGAACAAAATAAAATGCGGAACTCACTTCAACATATGCTAGTAAGTCACTAACCTCAGATAAACTCAGGTTAATTTTGTATGAATCCGAACATTTATCTAAAGCATTTATCACTGCTGGGGGGATTAAATCTACTTTCGGCTTCATATGGATGGCGAAAGGACTAGAAGGTCGAATGAGACAAATTAGACGTAGTATCCAACCTAAACGATCATAATGTTGGTGAGCAAGGGCCTCATAAACAAGAGGACCAGGGGAACCCAACTGAGCTATCATGTATAGGGCTAAGGGACCATAATAACGTGTATGTCGTAGTAACAGCAGTGGATTAACTTGACAGTTATCTGATTGTTTAGTGTTAGCATTCGTAAACGGAATCCATGCTAACTTATTCACATGATCATAAACATGATGGCATATTCGACTAAAATTAGGATCATCCGGCTCAAACTGTACACATGCTCTATCCAAAATATACGTAAACGAGCCCTGATCCAAAAGTGCCTGATAGCAGGAAGAAGAAAAGGGTAATGTCAGAAAAAGAAATAGCATATGTCAGTTATCAAAAATGATGTAAAAACTCCTACATCAAAAATTATTATACCTAATTTTAAAGCAGCTAAGCGTTGGGGACAGAAGTGAACATTTCGATTTTTCGATTATCAAAGATCAACACTATGCCATAAAGCAATGACTCCTAATTATATCTGTAAGGTTGGTTGAAGTGGGCTGCTACTGTGTATGTACTGAATGTAGGTATAATGCTTTCCCCACCTGTTTTGGCACTCACTACTGCTAGTAGTCACTACGAAGGTACTTAATTAGTTTATGCTTCGGCTGCCTTCGATCTTGATCGTCAGTAGATTCTGTCGAAATGAGCTCTTTGATACAACTTACCATGAGATTGAAGGGACACATTAGCCCTTATTGGTCTTAGGCTGAAGGTTATTTGCTGTCTTCGCTACTGTTTTCTCAACAGAATGAAAGTGACAATAAACTGTGTCAGGATGGAAATCGCCATCATGTAGAGATAAACTCTCAGTTATCTCTTGTCTCGGTTATAGAATTATATTCTTTAGACACAGGAGCTTTTCAGGTGCTTCTTTCCTATAACTATTCAGGTGCAAATACACGATTTGTCGAACTTATGTATCACTGAAGTTCAAGCAAGTACTCCATGAACAGCAACAATCCTCCAACGATAGTACATAGCAAAATGATTAAAGATTTTTGCATCGTTGAAACAAAACATTCACTATTTGCAGCAAGATGGGAAGTGATTGCGTTTGTGTGCCTTAAATTAACTCTAAATAACGTTACTTGAGGTCTCCAGATATTGCTTTTTACTGCAATTGATAAATCCCTCTAAACCAAAATAATAAATTAACGGATTCAAGAAATGCTAAGTATGAAGGTGATTATCAAAAAAATTTTCCACTGACCTTTCATAGCATCTAACTAGAATAAATGTCTTTTGGATGTAAATTAGGACGCAATGCATCTATAGACCATATACTCAGTTATGGATTAGGTAAATTTCCCGTCAATATAACAAGTGAAGCAGTTTAGTGAAACCCAATTGAGATTTCTATATCTATCCAGAGATTCTATTTATCACTACCAGAATAAAACTGACCTTACTGTACTAAACAGACACTTGATCTTATTTTGTAGGTCACTTATATGGTAAAAAGCAATAAAGCTATAAAGTTACTCATGCAAGTTCATCAGTCCTTCATTAATTCCTCAGTTTCCATAAATGAGGGTGAATACCAAAGCTGGCTAAAACGTTTCAATTGTTGGAGGAAACCTTGGTATCGGTCTATGAAGTTTCTGACTATTGGCTTTAGTGGGAGCCGCAATTCATTGTTTCATGGCTTTTTCAATACTCATTTCCAGAACGTTTTTACGTCAGTCGGTACGACTAGAGGTATGCATTTATCCTAAGGTCTAAATAATAATTACCCGCCACAGTATTCATTGAAACGGCTTTGTTCTTTTTGGTAATTAATATATTCCCAGAAAATCCTTTCAGTCACCTGATCCTCTGTTTGCCTGGCTAGTGGGAATATGGTTCAATACTCCAAATGAGTGATTTCAAACTATTTGATTTCATTTACAAGCTCCAATAGCCTTTCGCCTGAGTATATACATATATATATATATATATATATATATATATATATATATATATGAGTAGAATATCATTATTATTTCAGTATTTCGTTAGAGTATACCTCTTTTTAATCAACAGCTATATTAACTTGTCTAGTTAAAAGTGTCCTGATGCCTACCGAGATACCTGGTTAGTTCAAATCTCAAACAGGAATCTCGGTATTAGCTCACATCCAGTTAAACATGACTAGTTAGGTCCAAAGGGAATAAAATACACATTGCAGAAATGATAAAGAACATTTGTAGCTCAGGAGGATAATTTTGATGAGGTCGGGTTCTTTGAGCTGGACTGTTCAGTCGTGAAGCTTTTGTCGTCGTTCTAGAAACAATTTTCAGCAAAAACTCCAGAAAGAAGTGAACAACACAGTTTCCTCCGCAATTTATTTAGTAGCTTGTCCTGATGGCCTTGTGTGTGGTTGGTTGTTTCTTCCAAGGTCTTACAAGTGTCTCAATGTTTATTTTGATTAGTTGTCCTGTTGACATGAATTATGGCCTGTTTTTTTCTTTCCTACTGCTTTATAGATTGGGTCAATGTCAGTATGTCTGTTCTTTATATGCCACCTACCTAGGATTTTCGCACTTTTCCCAGTCAAATTCATGTCCACAGTTGTCTGTACGCATTGAAATGAGCGAAGATATTTCATAACACTTCACTGCTAGTTGATGTTGATGTAGGCGGATGCGAAGAGGGCAACCACTCTGTCCAATGTGGCGTTCTTCTCAGGTTCTGTAATTTATTTTGTTCGCTTTGTCGTTCGTTGCTATTGTATCTTTTGACCAGTATAACAAAGAGTAGAGAGCTATTTTGGGCTTATGAGATACAATGATTCCAAGAAGCTTCAATAATCCAGTCATGATCTCGGAGACGTTTTTCATGTAAGGTAGGACAATCTGTTTGTTAGCTTTCGAGGTTGGCTTCTTGGTTGGTGAAAAATCAAGTGAACATCTTTTGACGAAGTTGCGTGGATAGCCGTTCTTGTGGAAGACACTCATTAACTAGTTTTCTTATTTTTCCGCAAGGCTGATGTACTACAGTTTGTCTTCGCTCTTTTGAACAGTTTTTATACAACTGATTTTGTATGCTATTGGGCTGCTTGTATTGTATTTGAGGATTTGATCCGTATGAGTTTCGGTATCAGTATCGGTTTCCAATTTCCGTAAATCCGTTCTAGTAATGAGAGCATCTAAAATGTAAGTTTGTTACTTGATTCCTCCTCAATTTGATATTGTCGAAAATGTTATTGAATAGAGGAAAAACATAAAACGTCAGAGAAGTTTTAGAAGCTTGGTATTCAGGTCAGTCAGTCATCAAAAGACATACTGGCATTGACCCAATCTATAAAGCAGTAAGAAAGAAAAAACAGGCCATAATTCATGTCAACAGGACAACTAATCAAAATAAACATTGAGACACTTGTAAGACCTTGGAAGAAACAACCAACCACACACAAGGCCATCAGGACAAGCTACTAAATAAATTGCGGAGGAAACTGTGTTGTTCACTTCTTTCTGGAGTTTTTGCTGAAAATTGTTTCTAGAACGACGACAAAAGCTTCACGACTGAACAGTCCAGCTCAAAGAACCCGACCCCATCAAAAATACACCTCAGAGTCTAATGGTAGTCACTACGATATATGATGTGATGTAGCACTAACGATCAATTGAATTGCACTCGTAAAGCGAAACGCACTCAGAAACCTTATGCATATGCGTGCGGTAGGCAATGAACAACACCTATTGTGTGAAAGATAATCATACTACCCGGTTGCCCAAACCTCAGTTGGTGGGGCGGGGGGTGGTTGACAAATGAGCCACAGCTCTCTGGAACTATAGTACAAAACTGTGTTTAGAAGCAAGATGAAAACACTAAGCACTCTCATTAATAAAGGTGAATACCAAGGCTACCTAAAACACTTCAATTATAAAAGGAAACGTTAAGGATGTTCAGACAAAAAGTTGGTATCGGTCTATGAAGTTTCTGACTATCGGTCTAAACGGGGGCCACAGTTCATAAACTCAAGCACTTGACTTTCAAGCAGTAGGTCCTGGGTTCAAACCCGTTCCACCTACTTCAACCTTAGCAATCAACTAGTACTTATAAGCCTGTACACAATATACATGGCTCAATCTAGTGAACAAAAACATGCACCGGCCTGATTCAAACATTTTATTGTTACTGGTCTAAGCAATTTTAGTGAATGAACTCAAATGACTTCGAGTGATATGACTCACAATTAATCACAATTATGTAGATACGCTCAGATCTTATTTTCGTCCTAAACTTCATATCACACTTCGCTATTTGCTATAACCCATCTTTTTCTCTCTCTATAGCATTTCGAGACTTTTGGTAGGATTTTATTTCTCCGACTTGCGTCTTATTATCTTGAATTTTGACATGCTAATATGCGGTATGACGACTTGTATAGTTATGCAGTAATTCCATATCTCGTATTAACATTTACTGACTGACAAACTGCTAGTTTATTGAAGGTTTCTAAAACCAACGATTAGTGACTTTCTCAGTATATATAAAAGGGAGAGTGTGTATAAACCCAACGGGCATCCGGAAGTTTCAGTAATTATTGTAAAACGTTATGTTGGATACTGAATTATTAAACTTGAAATTCTCATAACGCTAGGTACCCTTTAAATTCGTATATAATTAAAAACCCGTAACCACTTTAAATCGGAAATAAAACCAATACACATGTAATAAATTTACTCACGCTTAGCTGCTTATTTTCAAACAACAAAGGGATATATAACTCCCTACCGGAAAGAGGAAAGTAAACTTGGTTGATACGATCACGTTCAGATGCATTTGCATGCCTAAGGTTACCATTCGATTCTCTAACAACAATAAGACGATTTTTCCTATCACGTCTTAAAGTTGTGTCTGTAAAAACCAGTTTGATGTTTCCCGGAATAAGACCTTGTAGGCCGCGGTCCTGCGATATGAGTTGGTCTTCTACGGCACTTCTTGGTTGTAAAACAGGTGGCATTTGTAACTTCTGTTCTGTGAAAACTGTGGTGAACCTTTTGACCTTGCATAACAGTTAGAATAAAAATCTGAATTTAATTACTATATTTAGTTCAGCATCACTTAAAAGTTTAATAGTCTCCCCACCAGCCTTCCTATAACTTCGTTGATGAACTGCATTTAAATCAGTGTAAGTGATCAGGCGCAAGAGATTATGAATTTGTGGATTTGTAAACAATTCTTGAAGGTTTCCAGAAACTTCACTAGGCCTTCGTACCAGATCTTAACATTAGAAATGTTTAATGATGTTACCTGCACACTGCAGCCTAGAGGTGGTAAACAGTGTTCTGATCTTATGCATGTCTTATGTACCCCCAAAACCAGAAGCGGGAACCGGACAAAAATGAAATTTGCAGTGATTTCTCAATACAGCGAAACGAATCAAGAGATGTAGTCAAGCCTTCATAATAAATAACCTACGACAGAAAAACAAGCAAATTATTGTAAGACATTTATAAAGTCAAAATAACTTCTTCCTAAACCTCGATGTACTTAAACTACTGCACTACATGTTCGATAACCTCGCCCAGTTAAATAGTTCACTAGTTACCAGCCGGTCATAAGCCCGCATAAACAGGGAAGGTTGGGCATACGGCTACCAACCCTACCCCGGAAAATCAATATAACCGCTAAAGAAACTTAAAAGCATAAACAGAATACAAAACATAAAAACAATATTATTCCTCGCTGGAATCAGGGAGGCGAAATGACACCAGTTGGTGAAAGCCTTCAGGAAGCCAATTGGCCGATGTGTCTTCCCTCTCGATGAAAGAGAAAGTAAATGTGGGGACATGGAATTTCCGCACCATGTATCAACCTAGCAAGGCTGCCCACATTGCAAAAGAGATGACGAGGTATAGCATTGAAGTGCTTGGAATTCGCGAAAGCAGATGGAATGGAAGTGGACTCTCCAAACTGTTAACTGGAGACGAGTCAATAATCTACTCCGATATTGTCACCCAGACGACAACCACGAGCACACTGGGTTATAGATTGGCTATCGTGATGTCCCCAACAGCATCGAGGGCTCGCGTGCAGTGGGAACCAATCTCCTTCCGCAGGATCATGACAGCAAGATGCAACTCAAAAGGAAGGAAAGTCACAATCATTCAGTCCTACGCGCCAACAAATAATTCAGATGAAGAGAAAGAGGAGGAATTTTACAGACAACTGCAATCAACACTGGACAAGACCTCAGTTGGCGACACCAAAACTCTAATGGGCGACGTGAATGCCAAACTGGGAGCAGACAACATAGAAAGAGCACTCATCATGGGTCGAGAAGCACTTGTTGAAATGAATGAAAACGGAGAACTGCTTGCATATTTCTGTGCATTCAACGATTTGGTGATTGAAAGCAGTGTGTGCAAACACAAGGATATTCACAAGGCAACAACATGGGTTTGATTTCACCAGACACCAGGACACACCACTAAAAATCAGATCTACTTCATCTCAATCTCAAGAAAGTGGAGATGCAGCCTACTCGACACAAGATCAAGAAGAGGAGAAGATGTAGGTTCACACTACTATCTAGTGCAAGGAACCTACCATCAAAATCAAGTTGAAGTCCTTCAACGAAGTTAGTGATAGACCACAGTTCAAGTTCAATACCCAGAACAGAAAATGAAGGACGAAACTACAAAGCACACATTCCCGTCAGTCAGCCATCCAGACAAAATGGGAGACATTGAGCAACATCCCTGAAGGGCCCGGCATGGAAGAACACTGGAACTCTTTGCGAGCTATGTGGAAGAAACCTGCTTAACCGTATTAGGAGCGAAGAGGAAACAAGACAAGGAATGGATCTCGACGGACATATGGAAGCTGATAGAGGAGGGAGAAGAAGATGGTGATGGTGAAGCAGAACGTGAACCAGTGCAAGGATGCACAACGAGTAGAGGAACTGAGTACAATGTATAAAACTCTACACTGGACAAAGAAGTGAAGAGTGCTCACAAAGACAAAAGACACTTCTACGACACATTGGCAAGTGAAGCAGAACAGACTGGAGGCTGGTAGGAGAGACAGAGACCTGACAACATAGTATCAAATAACCAGGTTACTATCCGGGAAGATATCTACGCAGACGAAACCAATGAAAGATAGTGAAGGAAAATTGGTTACCGAAGAGAAGAAACAGAGGAAACAATGGGCTGACCAATTCAGAAAACTCTTGAGTCGACCGCCACCTGTAACTTGTCCATAGATGCCACCAGCAGTCCAGCCACAGAAAACTTTCAGTGAACACAAGCCCGCCGACAAAAGCAGAAGTCTAGAATGCCATAAAACTGCTGAAAGCCGGGAAAGCAGTAGAACCAGATGGAATTCCACCAGAAGCACTGAAAAAAGACGCAGAGACAACAGCGGACATGCTCACGAAAATGTTGCAGAAGGTCCGGAAGGAAGAAAAGGTACCTGTAGATTGGGAGGGATACCTTGTCAGACTCACGAAGAAGGGAAACCACAGTGTTTGCAAGAACTGCGCAGAATCATGCTCCTTCCCTGTCCACCCAAAGCAAAATATTATGCCGCACCATACTGGAGAGATTAAAAGATGCGCTGGATTCAAAACTACGACCGGAACAGGCTGGTTTCAGGAGGAACAAATCATGTGCGGACCGAATTGCAACTCTACGCATGCCAAGTGATCCACAATGGAAAGCTCAGCGACGCCTTTGAAGTGAAGACAGAAGTAAGACAAGGCCGCCTACTATGACCGATGATCTTCCTGATTGTGATGGACTGGATCATGCAGCAAACCGTGAGGGACGATAAGACAGGCATACGCTAGCTGGACCGATGAAAAGAGCCTGGAAGATTTGGATTTCACCGATGATGCTTTATGTCTAATGTTGCACAAACTCGAAGATCTACAGGCGAAAACCAACAAGTTGACAGAAGAGACAGAGCAGCGAAGACACGACTTTCTTCAGCTGAATGTATGGAAGACGGAGGTAATGAAGATAACCAACTAACAACAGCATCAACAAGCGCCAATCACCATTAACGGGAGAAACCTAAATGAAATAGTCTCTCTAACCTACCTGCCTAGACAGCATCGTTTCAACTACAGGCGGCACAGGCGAGGATATCAAAACCAGGATTAGAAAAGCAAGACAGGCTTTCACTAATCTGAAATCAGTGTGAAGATCTACTGCACTGAACAAGATCCAAATTTTCAACACCAATAGCAAGTCAGTGCTGTTATGTGGTGGTTCAAAAACGGCGTGTCACGAAAAGCATTTCCAACAAACTACAGATATTCGTCAACAGTTGCCTAGGCTTGATACTTAAGATCAGATGGCCAGAATAATAGGAATAAGCAACAAGGAACTCTGGCTGGCAACGAACCAACCAAGAACCTATCGCTCAACAAATATGCAGAAGAAAGTGAGGATACACTGAGAAGGCCAACTGGGAACATCACGAGCCAGGGAGTCGAGTGGAATGCAAAAAGGGGAACGACGAGTTGGGCGTCCCAGCTGAGCGTGACATAGAGGAGATCATGTGAGGAAGAAATGAAAGCTTGTGCGCAGTCTTGGCGCCAGGTTCAAAAGACTTCAGAGAAGAGAGTGCAATGGAATCGTGCTACTGAAGCCCTATGTTCCACTAGGAACCCAAGGGAAAAATAATGATAATAATACATTTTCGATATTAATTAAAAACAGCATGAGTGAAAAAGTCTGTATGTACTGGCAAACACTATTTTTTTAAGAATTTAAACCAAGTGCAATAGCACAAATGAAGTTGTGACAGGGAGACGAATTTCAACCAACGCTTGACATGACTAACCAGATACACGAATTCCCAAACAATCCGAAATTGGATATATGCGCAACTTCTACCTGTCTTGCAAAATTAAGCACCTTGGTGACATGCAGCACATACTATACTAATCAAAACTGATCACCAACTGGTCAAGAATGAATCTAAAGGCTTGTAAAGTGTCACATGGTAAGACAGTGCCAAACCCATACTCACATTCTGAAATGCTCTACAAGTAGCGATTTTACAAAACCCTTATCCACCTTCAAAGATGTTGCAAGATTTTCATCAGTGGTAAAGTCATAACTTTAAGAAACTGGGCTACGGGCCAATAACAAGCGACGACATTTAAACATCTGGTGGAAAACCAACTACTACCAAACTAAACAAAACTCTTCCTGCCACATGTAGCCTTTTCGCATTCTGTACAGCTGATGAGAAATAACAGCAGCCAAGAGCTCAAACAGAACCGATATTAGTTTTAGAAATGTACAATACAATGGTCCCATTTCATTTCGGAAGGCCACTCATCTTGAAAATAACCTGAAAAATTAAGTCAGATCTCCGACTAGTATTTCAGTACATTAGACACATTCAGTATGTAGGAACAAGAAATATGCCCTAGTTTTCTTTACTTCCTTTAAAACACCTGAGTAAACTTTCATGGTTGAATGCACTGCAGCACTTTAGTTTTGAAATTTCTTTCGGATATCAACCTGATCAGATTGGTTAGCACCAACCAACCATGAAGCACAAAATAGAGTTGATATATTTTTCCGCTGACTATTGTTTCAATTTAGTACCAAAAGAAAATAGAGTGAGAAGCTTCGACAGAATCGACATATGGATTCCAAATAGTTGCAGTACAATTGTGAAATGCATTTAAGCAGAGTCGCTAAACACTTTCATGGTATTCTGCAAGTATACAAATGCTCATCTAGATTTTCCGAGGGATTGGCAACAAACTGAGTCGCATTCGGTTACAGGCGTAAAAACCAATTTAAGTTTGAAGATGTAGGGTAATTTTCCACCAGAAATCGGCTTTTTTTAGCTTCAGATTTCTTAGATCTTCCCTAGAGGCCCCCGAAGAATTATAGGCTTATTTCCAAATTCCCACTTCAGTTAACATTGAGTAGTTAGACACTGAAGAGTAGACTGATGTCAGTCACAACTTACAAGTATCTCATTCAAAATATTTAAAGTTAATACTCATGCCATAAGCATTTCAAAAGCTTCAGGTAAGAGTTTAGAAAATTTTCAGTACATGAACTAGGGAGGACTCAACGTTTCCTGAAAAAATAACTATAAACAGGTCGCTTAAACTGCACATCCAACTCCAAGTACACTTCAGAAACAATGAGCAAAGCAATAAATAAAACCAAGCACGTTTAATAACAAAAGACATCCTCTCGAAATCAAAAATCTTTTCAAAAAAGGTTTGGAGTTTTCTTCTGAATATCCCAAAAGTTGTAAAAGACACGTCAGTGCAGGGCATACATAGCTTTTTGAGTTGAATATCACTGACAATTCTAG